CTATTGTCTGGATTGACTCTCATTTTAATGTGAAAATGAGAGTTGGGGCTTATTGTGTAGCTTTTTACAGCATTGATTCCTACATCTAAATCCTTCGCACTTTCTAGTAAGAACACAGCACCAACAGGACTGTTCTCTGGGATTTCAAGGAGCATTTGTTTTTCCAAGAAGATGGGAGAGTGATCATTTATATCCCTGACCTGAAGCTCAATTTGTAAAAACTGCGTGGGGTTTTTCATTAACACCTGGAAATGTAGCACACAAGGCTGAATGGAACCGCAGAGCTCCTCCCTGTCTAGTGTTTCACTTAAGAGCAAATCCCCAGTGTTTATGTCCAGCTGCAAACGCTGTTTCTTATCATTAGAGACCACCTGAGCCCCCCGTGAGGACAGTTCTCTCACCTTCAGCCCCAGGTCCTTTGCCAGATTGCCTACAAAACTCCCGCTCTGCATTTCCTCTGCCACAGAAAATCTCCCAGGTTCAGAGCCCACCTGAGACATTCCCAGCAAAACAAAGAGAAGCAGGACTTGCCTTATCTGCTGAGTGCATGCTCTTCCGTTCTCCATAGCTCCTTTCTTGTAGGCTTCTTGAAGAATGGCTTCAGTTCTGGGGAACGTGTCTCTGACTTGTCCACCAAATCCTCTATGGTCTAAGGATTTTAACCCTGTTGAATGGCTTCTAAGTCACCCTCTTGAAGCCTTGTTCTTTCCGTCTTCTGCTTCTCTGTGTGCACTGGTTATCAGTGTTCGCAACACCATCCGGTCAATTTATTTTTCACGATGTTATCCTGCAGCGCCACCAAGTGTCTCCATAGATTTTCACAGTTTGGTGAAAGCTACCTAAATTCCATTCACTTATATGTCCTCCGGAAACAAACATTGTTTTATTCATCGTGTTCAAGTGATTACAAATATATTGCATCTTCTATAATAATTATTTCATATTCTCTTTAGTTTGATATGCTGTTAATATTCATCTTAAAGCATTTACCTTTCCCTACTCTCCACACAGCCAAACATGCTTAGTTGTGGTGAATACAGAAATACAAGATGTGATTCCTGGACCCCAATGGTTTGCAACCTTTCTGAGAAGATTGGAAACATAAAACAACAATAATATTATTAAGCTGTACAAAATTCTATCACTACTTGACTTTCCTTAGGTGGTAATGAAAAGGCAAAGTATACATGGGTCATTTTAGAAGTCCTCTCATATTTGATATGAAACTGGATTAACCATGAGATGGGACATACTTTGATAGTTATGATAGCACAAGAAGGCATTCATTTAGATTTCCTTGGTAGCAAAGAATTGTGAACTGTGAGAAAGTAAAGTAAGATATTGGGAGTAGAACATATTATGAGAATCCTTGATTTAGTTCCAGCTTCTCAAAAAATAATAAGTGCACAAGTATGTTAGTTTCATTTAAAGCAGGCTTATTTCTAAGACTGGCCTCCCTCAGTTTCTCAAGATTTATTCCAGCAACAATTATGGCTATCTGCTTTGTTTTTCAGCTCAAGAAGCTGAAGAGATTTTCTTCCTCAATAATAGAACAAAATCTTAGCCTTCATTCTGATTAGCCCAATTGAGAGCACTTCAGCCTGTTACTGAAGAAATCAGTGTCTCAAGATGTATAGGATTAAAGGTAGAGATTGTAGTCCTAGAATCTAAAGACTCCATCTTTGGCCGTTTGTTTTAATCCAGTCAGAAATTGCCCCTTAAACGTGAGGTGGTTTCAATCCTAGCCAAAGTGCATGGCTGCTACATAATGAGGGAGATGGTTGGAATAGGTGCTTGGAACCTGCCAGTGGTATCCACTATTAGACATCTCAAAATATTCTGAAGAATGTAGGACATCTAAGAAGTCTGCATTTTTTTAAAATGCTAATTTCAAATTACATTCGTAAAAATGTGAACTAGACACATGGTTGAAAAATTATCAGTGCAGAAGAGTAGAAATTGAATAGTATGTGGATTGACTATACAATTATCCTTCCTTCTTCTTAACCTCCTCTAAAATGACAGAAAAATAACAAAAGGTATGAACTCACAAAGACTAAGAATACATAAGTGAATACACAAATTATCTGATGATAGGAAGCAGATGAAAGAACAATTAACAACAGTTCCAAGAAATGTCTAAAATAAAGTTCCTGTATTGGAGATACTAAAAATAAACTACTGGGTTTTCCCTATATAATCCTAGTAGGTACCAAACTTGGAGGACCCAGGTGTATAAGAAGGCTGAAGTCAAGTAAGGCCTTTAAAAAGAAGTTATCAGTTGAAAGTATGTATACTGGATAGTTGAATTCTGTGGTCTTTTCGCTGCCATACAGAGACAAGAAAATAACTGAGAGCCAGAGAATGGAAGGCTTATACTCTGGAGAAATTAGATTATATTCTGGAGAAATTATACTATCTCCAGTCTTGGAAACCCCAGGCAGAACTGAGTGAAAGTAGGAGGTATGAAACTAAAGATAAGGAGATTAGGCAAAACACTGCCTTCTGTATAGTGAGACTCCTCACCATGATACTCTCAGATTGTAGGACACAAGATATATGCCTGACGTCTTCTCCATCAAACCCCAGAACATTGAATATTGTAGAATTCTATCCCAGGGAATATGAAAGGCGCAGATAAAGACTTATATGTACTGATATGTGGGGCTTTCCCAAGGTAGTAGCTCTATCCTATCATGGTTACATTAGAGTGAAGCCCTGTCATCAATACTCATGAAGGGTTGACTGTCAGCATTTGCTGTGTCATCATTCATATATATAACAAGATAGCCAAAGATCACAAGACTTTTGAGAAAATGCTTACATGAAATAGAAAGACCAAAACTGTAATACTACCGCCACACACAAAAAGCAACAGGAGGCAGTAGATATAATTCAGAAAACAAAAGAAAGCCTTTTTTTTTTTTTGAGACGGAGTCTCGCTCTGTCGCCCAGGCTGGAGTGCAGTGGCGGGATCTCGGCTCACTGCAAGCTCCGCCTCCTGGGTTTACGCCATTCTTCTGCCTCAGCCTCCCGAGTAGCTGGGACTACAGGCACCTGCCACCACGCCCGGCTAGATTTTTGGTTTTTTTAGTAGAGACGGGGTTTCACCGTGTTAGCCAGGATGGTCTCGATCTCCTGACCTCGTGATCCGCCCATCTGGGCCTCCCAAAGTGCTGGGATTACAGGCTTGAGCCACCGTGCCCGGCCAAGAAAGCCTTTTAAAATGTCTGATTAATATCCCCAGAGAAACAAAATGTAGTAAGAGCTAACACTTATTGACTTATTCTAAGTTCATTATTCTAGTGCCTCATATGTATTTACCTAGTTAATGTTAACAGTAACCCTATCAAGTACATATTCATATCTGGAAGACAAAGAATAGCTTAGGGCTTAAGTGCCCCTTACTAGCTATATAGCCTTAGGCAAATTCTTCCCTTTGATTCACTTGCAAGTTTAAAATAGGTATAATAATAACTCTTACTATATAATGCATTTTTAAAGAATAAATAGATTAATTATAGGTGAAAGAAGATTTACATTTGCAAATTTGTAATATGTCATGAAAAACCAAAAGAGTTCTTAAAAATAAATATTTGTTATCCAAAAAGAAAAACTTAAATATGAAGATTAGATGATTACATGAATTGTCTAATAAGTAGAACAACAGATGGAAAAGAAGAAAAAATTATAATTTAGAGTCTCAGAAAAATCAATGCAGGAGGTGCAATATTTAATGAGATTCTGGTTAAAGTGAGACTGTAGAAAACTCAATGGATAAATTATTACTAAAACATAACAAGAAAATTTCTCAGAACTTACAGTGAGAGTCTATATGTTAACAGGGTATGCCTGCATGGCCAGATTAATAAATAGAATGCCTATATTAAGGTCTTTTCAGAATACCAGGAAAAAGTTTTTCAGGGCTTCCAGGGAAGGAGGTAAGAGAGAAGGAACAAAGAGAGGTGGAATCAAAATCAAGTCAGTCTTTTGAAAAGGAACTCAACATGCAATGAGTAAAAGAAACAGTTCCAGCTTTCAAAATCTAAGGGAAAATTATTTTCAAACTAGAATTTTATACCCAGTCAAACTATCAAGCAAATGAAAACAAACAAAAAAGATGTCTTCACAATATAAGGAGACAATTTTAAAAAATCTCTTCTGCATTCATTTATATGAAGGCCTTGAGAAATGTGTGCCAGCTGAATAAGAGAGTAAACTAAGAAAGAAGAGTATACTGGATCTCATAAAAGGAGACTCATGAAGGAAAGTACTGAAGGGAAAAAAGTCCCAGGGTAACAGTCTATAGATGAACCAGTCTAAATGATTCAGAGGAAATTCAGGTTGCAAGAGCTCCTGAAAATAAATGTCATTGACAGAGTATCTTAAAAATTGGAATATTTTTAAGGAGAAAATACATTCAAATGAAAGATACGGAAAAAAACAATAGAAGTACATAGAAAATAATGCAAGTGTGAAAGAACAATTATGAACTCTAGGAACCATACTTTTCAAGTAAGGAAATGTAATTATAGTACAGTACACAAATGCATATTCTGAAGCACACAGCAATATAGACACTAACTACTAATTTAACTAAGAAACTGTGGCATCTATATTGGGAGAATAGGAGAAAAACAATTTGCAATGTTTGTATATGTTTGCTAGTTTGGAAATAAGAAAGCTAAATGCTTTTCTATTATAGAAAGAAATGGTTCAAATACAAAACAATATCAAGATATAGTAGTATAAACATATTATTTATAAACATTGAGATCAAGTCAAGAAGAAACCACACTGTGGTAAGGGACTGGCAGAACAGCTAATTTAGAAAACTATAAAATGTTAGTTATATATAGTATATATTTAACATATAGTAATATAAAAAACTAATGAAACTTGTTTTTTGTTCTAACCTTTAGTTCCTCTTTATTATTAAAAATTTGGTATTTAAAATAAATTTGCAACATAAAAATGAATATCTCCAGCAATCTCAAACACAAATTTTAAAATGTTTCATTTGTATTCGTTTTCATGCAGATTGTAATTTTATTTCAATTATAAGGCATAGTCTGTTTTATACATCAGCAAAAGTTAACATAAGAAAATATTGGGCAAGTGAAAGTAGCATGCTTAAACATAAAATAATAAGTATATAAACTAAGGGTATTATTGATGTTCAATATTGCTCACAATATGCTTTGTTTCATTTTGTCATGAGCATAGTAGTAGAGAAATATTTCTTTTTAAATACATGATTTAGAAATAAATGACATGGTTTTCAAACACGAATATATAGAATGTTAGAATGAATTTGGAAATGTAGATATGCCTTAAATAGAGCAAGTACACTATAGACAGAAGTGATTAGAATCATGGGATGCAAGCTCTGAAATGAATCAAAACTTCAGATTTTTGTGAAGAGATATAATAGTAATTAATTCCTTGGGCAGTTGGAAAGAATTAAAATCTTAACACTATCATTTAGAAAATATACTAATTACATTAAACCTAGTTGTTATTAATGCAAAAAAAAAAGATGAAACATTGTAAAATCACAGGGATATACTACTGGAAAATAATGCTTGAAGTTGCATAATAACTTAAATTTGAGATTTAAAAGTAAACTAATGGAAACATGGCTATGCAACACACCAAAAGTACATGAAACTAAAAACAGACTTTACTGAATATTAAATCCAAAGCTATTTCGGAAGGTGGAATTTTGTTCACCTTTCCTCCCAGGGCCCTGTGTCTGAATATCCGAAATAATTGGTTTCAAGAACTTGAATTCACTGGTTCCGGGGCCTCCCGTCAGACACACCTCATACTGGTAGCTCTGGGACAGGGTCCCAGCGCCGCTCACGTCCACCAGATGCCCTGGAAAGGTGCCCTCGGGCACCGAGCAGCGACCCACAGAGGCCGCCCTGCTCCTCCTGCACAGCCGCACCGCCACGAACAAGAGCACTGAAAAGAGGAACAACGACGACACCGAGGCCAGCGCCACCACCAGGTAGACGGTGAGCGAGTCGGCCTCGGCCTGGGCCGGCGCCGACTCTGGGAGCGGCAGGTAGGGCTGGGAGAAGCCGTCCACCAGGAGCACGTGCAGCGTGGCGGTGGCCGAGCGCGGAGGCTCGCCGTTGTCCTTGACCAGCACCACCAGCCTGTGCTTGGCCGCGTCGCGCTCGCTCAGCAGCCTGGCGGTGTGAACCTCGCCATTGTGCGCCCACACACCGAACAGCCCGGGCTCCGTGGCCTTGAGCAGCTGGTACGACAGCCAGGCGTTCTGACCCGAGTCGCCATCCACCGCCACCACCTTGGTCACCAGGTAGCCTGGTTCAGCCGCCCGGGGCACCAGCTCAGTGCAGGGCGCGGAGCCGTTCTGCAGAGGGTACAGCACGAAGGGCGAGTTGTCGTTGGCGTCCAGCACTAGCACGCGCACCAGCACCTCGCTGCTCAGCTCTGGGGAGCCGCGGTCTGTGGCGCCTACGCGGAACTCGAAGGCCTGCAGGGCCTCGTAGTCCAGCGACCTGAGGGCGAACAGGTGGCCGTTGTCCGCGTTGATGGAGACCAGGGAGGGGAGGGGCAGGTGCGGGTCCTGGGGCGGCAGCAGCGAGTAGGTGACCTGGGCGTTGGTGCCTGAGTCTCTGTCTGTGGCGCTGACCCTGCCGATGTGCAAGGCGGGGCTGTTGTTCTCGCGGACGAACAGGGTGTAGGAGGTTTGGGTGAAGGCGGGGGCGTTGTCATTGACGTCGGAGACCAGCACAGTTATGTTGTGCTCGGTTTTCAGCCTGGGTGTCCCCAAGTCAGTGATGGTGATAGTGATGTTGTACTCAGCTCTGCTCTCTCTGTCCAGCGCGCCTTCTGTCATTAGGATGTAAAAATTCTCCACAGAAGGTTTTAGTAGGAATGGCAGATTCTCTTGAATGTAGCAAATCATCTTTCCATTTTCTCCAGAGTCTCTGTCATTAATCTTAAAAACAGCCAGTACCGTCTCAGGAGAATTCTCAGCAACAGAGTTGGAAAGTGATGATATGATGAGTTCAGGGGCATTGTCATTGGTGTCCAATACTTCCACCAAAACCCTACATATTGAAGAAAGGCCTCCACCGTCCATTGCCTGTATATTTATTTTGTAAGAATTTACTAACTCATAATCAAGCAATTCTCTGAGAAAGATTTCCCCAGAAAAAGGATTGATTTGAAAGGTTGTTCGAATATTTTCTGAGGCATCAAAAAATGAATAGGATACTTCCGCGTTAACTCCAGAGTCTATATCTTCTGCCGATACCTTAACAATTAGGAATCCAATGGGACTGTTTTCTGGAGCCTGGGTCTCATACAGAGCCTGGGCAAACTGTGGGGCATTGTCATTGACGTCCAAGACCACAATGCCTATAGTGGAGGTCCCAGACCTGGGTGGAGACCCACCATCCAGAGCTGTGAGGGTTAAGCTGAGCTCTCCCTGCTCCTCCCGATCCAGTGCTTTGTCCAACACTAGCTCTGGATATATCATGCCTTCATCACTGCCACCAATTTTAACATGGAAAAAAGAGTTGGGGCTGATCGTGTAGTTTTGGATACCGTTAGGTCCTCCATCTGGATCCTGTGCTCTTTCTAGTCGAAACGCTGTCCCTTCAGCAGTATTTTCTGACATTTTTAAGACTGTTTCTTTGTCCTGAAACACTGGCGAGTGATCATTTATATCCCTGACTCTCAGCTCAACCCGGTAAATCTGAAAGGGATCATCCATTAAAATTTGGAAATACAGCATACAGGGCTCTTTAGGGCCACACAGCTTCTCTCGGTCCAGTTTCTCATTTGTGAGCAAATTCCCAGTGTGTGACTCCAGGAGCAGGTATTGTTTGTTATCATCGGAAACCACCCTGGTTCCCCTTGCAGCCAGTTCCCCCTCTGCTAGTCCCAGATCTTTTGCCAGATTGACCACAAAGGATCCTCTGTCTGTTTCCTCAGTCACCGAATAACGTCTAAACCCAGAACCTGCCAAGGACACTCCCCAAAAAAGAAAAAGAAACAGGACTTGCCTTTGTCTTGGGAAGCTGAATCCCCTGGCCTCCATAGCTGCTTCTTTCCTCAATGTCAGTCTCAATCGCACTGCCCCAGCACAAATAGCAATCGCAAACCCAGACTTATGTGTAGCAGAGATCTAGGGTTTTTAATTTTTCCTTTCCCAATCGGGGGCTCAACAGCTTTTTTTCTCAGCCCATCTGTCTCGATATTTCTTTTTTGTCCAGGACTTCCGTAGCATTCTGGTCAATTTTGTTCCTCCATCCCTTTAGCCTGCAGCGCCACCTTGTGGCTTCCAGTACAGTCAAATGGCTATGCCCAATTTTTGTGTTTGTCTACATAAAAATTCTTCATTGCTTCATGAGAAAAGTTAAAAATTGAACAGTTGAAAAAATGTTTCTAGTAGTAACCCTGTTCAATTCTGTGTTACATTTAGCTGTGTACTAGGCCTTTCGCCTCTGACACAACTCTTATGCAAACAAAGGGAAAATTGTGGGTGCCTTCTGGAACCACCAAAACAACCGATTTCACATTCCCCAAAACTTTGAGCATAGGAACACCAAAAATTAGCAACAACAAAAAGCTTGTTTCACATCTTCTTCAACAAATTTCTTCAAGATCTCATTACATTGCCTAACTAGAATCACTGCTCTGTAGTCCAGAACCAAGCATTTAGGCTGTCTCTCCACTGTGCTTCTCTAAAACTTATGTATACAACTATGCTTACTCTATAAATATTATTGCTTTCTGTTTCAGGCCAATTTGCCCCCTCATCAATGTGTGAACTACTTGAGAACAACTGTCTTAGTCATCTTTGGTTGGCAAATTAGCCACTCACTAAATGCTTGCTATATTAAGGCATGCATAAATAAACTCAAGTAAGACATGAAACAATATTCAGTGCCTTTTGAACTCTGCTATTTGAAAATTATTTTCTTTAATTTGTTCATACTTTGCAATTTTTTTTCTTATATTAGCTTTAAAATAACTTGCAGAGTTAAAGAAGGGACTGGCCTTTATTTTCAGGTCCCTTTTAATGGAAATCTAGTAGGCCCTAATTTCTCTGAACCAAATAAGGGGAGGTAAAGAACAGATCAAACTAACACTTATCCTAACACTATTGAAAGTGAGAACAAATTATTAAATCTGACTCACACAGAATTTTATTCAAAGGGCTAATATCTAGAAAGAAGCTCAATTTTTCACATAATAAGTAAGAAATACAGATTAAACATAGGGATGTTTTACAGAGAAAGGGCTAGATACCACCAATATATACTATGATGAATATACAAGCCAAACCATATAAATGTCTCCTCGATAAGTTCCTTTTTTTCCAACTTAATGAGACTGAGTTGTTAGCCATTAAAAATATAACAGGGACCTCCGACTTTTTAATTCAGAAATAGAAACAATAAATTATTAAATATTTTTATGTAATACCTTTGCCTTTTGGCTACAAACACAAACACATTTACACATACTCAATGTCTTATGATGGCTTCTCTTTTTATTTTTAGATAAGGCTGGTTAAAGATTTCTCATATCACAATAGGAATATTATATTTTATTTAGGTTGATATCAATACAGGGAAAATTGAACAGTTTTAAAAAAGGTAACTTTACCAGACTCCATCTCAAAAAAAACCATAAAACTTTGGATGGGCACATTGGCTTATGCCTGTAATCTCAGAATTTGGAGAGGCTGAGGAAGGAGGATGGCTTGAGCCCAGGAGTTCAAGATCAACCTGGGCAACCTGGCCAAATCCCATCTCTGCAAAAGACTAGCCAGGCATGGTGGCACGCACCTGTAGTCCAAGCTACTTAGGAGGCTAAGGTGGGAGGATCCCTTGAGCCCAGGAGGCAGAGGTTGCAGTGAGTCAAGATTGTGCCACTGAACTCCAGCCTGGGTGACAGAGTAAGACCGTGTCGAAGGAAGGAAGGAAGGGAGGAAGGAAGGAAGGAAGGAAGGAAGGAAGGAAGGAAGGAAGGAAGGAAGGAAGGAACTTTACAAAGTATTATAATGAAAACTTAGCTTGAACCCAACAAGAATACCAATTTTGAAAGGAAAATAGACAAAAGAAATGTAACATAGGAAATATGCCTAATACATGCAACAGGTTATTTTAATACTTGAGGTTCTAGGAAACTGAGAACTAACATGAAAAATGGAGCAAAAAAAATGAATAGGAAGTAAATAAAATATGAAGATGGAAACATTTTAAATTATATCAATTTTGAAGATAAAGTCTATTTTGTTAATTGGGATTCCACATGCAACACCTCTTTGGGGTAAATATAAGGAAAAGGGAAACTGAAATTAACAATATAATTTGAACTAACAATCAATCAGAGAAAAATAACACCTTATTGGTGGTGGTGGGCATGAACAATTTAATCAACAAGACAATCATAAGAAGTTAAATAATTTATCAAATGAGTTCCTATCAAGAATTAAACCCAAAGCTATTGTGAAGGGTGGAATAGTAATCTATTTCTTTCCCAGCGCCCTAAGGAGAGAAGTTGGAGATAATCGGATTCAGGAACTTGAACTCATTTGCTTCTGAGCCTCCTGACAGACACACCTCGTACTGGTAGCTCTGGGATAGGGTCCCGGTGCCGCTCACGTCCACCAGATGCCCTGGAAAGGGGCTCTCGGGCACCGAGCAGCGACCCACTGAGGCCGCCCTGCTCCTCCTGCACAGTCTCACCGCCACGAACAGGAGCACCGAGAAGAGGAACAGCGACGACACCGAGGCCAACGCCACCACCAGGTAGACGGTGAGCCAGTCGCCCTGGGCCTGGGCAGGGGCCGCCTCCGGGAGCGGCAGGTAGGGCTGGGAGAAGCCGTCCACCAGGAGCACGTGCAGCGTGGTGGTGGCCGAGCGCGGAGGCTCGCCATTGTCCTTGACCAGCACCACCAGCCTGTGCTTGGCCGCGTCGCGCTCGCTCAGCAGCCTGGCGGTGCGAACCTCGCCATTGTGCGCCCACACGCCGAACAGCCCGGGCTCCGTGGCCTTGAGCAGCTGGTACGACAGCCAGGCGTTCTGACCCGAGTCACCGTCCACCGCCACCACCTTGGTCACCAGGTAACCTGGCTCGGCCGCCCGGGGCACCAGTTCGGTGCAGGGCGCGGAGCCATTCTGCAGCGGGTACAGCACGAAGGGCGAGTTGTCGTTGGCGTCCAACACCAGCACGCGCACCAGCGCCTCGCTGCTCAGCGCTGGGGAGCCGCGGTCTGCAGCGCCCACCAGGAACTCGAACTCCTGCAGGGCCTCGTAGTCCAGCGACCTGAGGGCGAACAGGTGGCCGTTGTCCGCGTTGATGGAGACCAGGGAGGCGAGGGGCAGGTGCGGGTCCTGGGGCGGCAGTAGGAAGTAGGTGACCTGGGCGTTGGTGCCTGAGTCTCTGTCTGTGGCGCTGACCCTGCCGATGTGCAAGGCGGGGCTGTTGTTCTCGCGGACGAACAGGGTGTAGGAGGTTTGGGTGAAGGCGGGGGCGTTGTCATTGACGTCGGAGACCAGCACAGTTATGTTGTGCTCGGTTTTCAGCCTGGGTGTCCCCATATCTGTGACGGTGAGGGTGATATTATATTCAGCTCTTGCTTCTCTGTCGAGTGCTCTGTCTGTTACCAAGGTGTAAAAGTTCTTGACTGAAGGTTTTAGAAGAAAGGGAAGGTCTTCCTGGATGGAGGAAATCGTTTTCCCATTGTTTCCGGAGTCAGGATCTGAAACGCTGAAAACAGCAACTACAATCTCAGGCGAGTTCTCTGGAATGGGGCTAGTGAGTGCAGACATGGTCACCTGTGGGGGATTGTCATTCACATCCACCACCTGCAGGAGAAGAGTGCACTTTCCTGAAAGACCTCCTCCATCTGTGGCTTTGATGTGCACTTCATAAGACGTAACCGCTTCGAAATCTACTTGTTTTCTCAGTCGAATTTCCCCTGTCATAGCATTTACCTCCAACGTTTTACTAATATCCTCTGAAGGCTGAAAGAGTGAGTATGATATTTTTCCGTTGGCTCCACTGTCTAAATCCCTGGCGGAGACGGTGGCAACCAGGGAGCCAAGGGCGTTGTTCTCTGGAATCCGCACTTTGTAGATGGGCTGCTCAAACTCAGGGGCATTATCATTGATGTCCACCACTTCAATGCGGACCTGAGCAGTTCCAGATCGCGGTGGAGAGCCGCCATCCAGCGCTGTCAGGGTTAACCTTAGTTGAGGCTCCTCCTCCCGATCCAGCTCTTTATCCAACACTAGCTCAGGGTATTTCCTGCCATCATTGCGTTCTTTGGTTAGAACCCCAAAATGGGCATTTGGGCTGATTTTATAGTTTTGAACATTATTGCTTCCTACGTCCAAGTCCAAAGCATGATACAGAGGGAACTCAGTTCCTAGAGGACTGTTTTCCAGTATTTTTAGAATCATTTCCTTTTCAGTGAATATGGGAGAATGGTCATTTATATCTATCACCCTCAGTTCAGCCTGAAATATTTCTAAAGGTTTTTCCATTAACACTTGGAAATGTAGTATGCAAGGCTCAGTGGGACCACATAGCTCCTCTCGATCTAGCTTCTCATTTATGAGCAAATCCCCAGTTTGAACCTTGAGTTGCAAATGCTGTTTGTTCCCCTGGGAAATGATCCTGGCCCTGCGGGTGGACATCTCTGTCAACCCCAACCCCAGGTCTTTTTCTAGATTTGCCACAAAAGAGCCTCTCTCCGTTTCTTCCACTACGGAATAGGACCCCAACTCGGCGCCAGCCCCAGACAAGCTCAGCAAAACAAAGAAAACAAGGACTTGCCTTTGTCTCCGACTGTGCATCCATCCAATCTCCATTGCTTTTTCTTGAAAAGTTGGTTCACAGAGGCTTCACGTATCCCCAGGATACTAGTAGCACGGTTTTGCAGTCCAGAATGTCGGAACCAAGCAGCCCAGTGGTGTCTTAAAGAGGTTTCACATTCGGGTTTGCTCTGGCTCCGCTATTCTTTTGCTTCCAGGCTTTGGGAAACGGTTTGCTGGATCCTGGAGCGGCATGGGCAATTCTGTTTTCCATCATCTTAACCTGCAGCGCCACCACGCGTTCTCACTGAGTCATATTTTCTGGTTTGAAATTGGTGGCAAAATTATTTTAAACGTACTGAATAAGCTATGCAATACGAAACGCTGAGTCCTATTTTCATGTGTCTTTTGTGTGTACAGATGGAGCGCTGTGATGTTGTTGTACAGGGAGGAGTACAAGGAGCAAACAGTCACATGTTATTGACTGTTTAATGCTGTTGGGTTGTTAATGATTAAATAAAATGTTTAAATTGAAATTAACATTTAAGTTGAGAAGAAATATACACTTAGGAGCATAATGTTTCTCTCCTTTTGAATCATCCATTTTAAAATTAAGTACCCACGAAAATTTTAAAAAATACAATCTACCCATTGTATTGATTCAGGACAGGTGCAGTGTCTTGTACCTGTAATCCCAGCGCTTTGGGAGCCTGAGGCAGGCAGATCACGAAGTCAGGAGTTCGAGGCCAGCCTGGCCTACATAGTGAAGCCCCATCTCTACTAAAAATACAAAAATTATCTTGGGAGGCTGAGGCAGGAGAATCCAGGAAGTGGAGGTTGCAGTGAGCCGATATCACACCAACGCACTCCTGCCTAGGTGACAAAGCAAGACTCTGTCTCAAAAATAAATCAATCAATAAAATATATGATTCTTGGCTTATGATATATTCAGAGTTGTGCATCCATCGTCACAATTTAGAACATTTTAATCACCTCAGAATAACTCTGTATCCTTCAACTATTACTCCTTACCCCCCACCAATTCCCTCATCCCTCCTGTGCCCAGCCTTGAGAAACCATTAATCTATTATTTGTCTCCATGGAGTTTCCTATTCTGGATCTTCATATTATGGAATAATATAACATTTGGACTTTTTTGGCTGGCTTCTTTCTCTTAGCATAATGCTTTCGAGGTTCATCCAAGTTGTAGCATTTATCAATGTTTAATTTCTATTTTTGGCCAAATAATATTCCATTGTGTAGAATATGACATTTTGATTATCAGTTCATCTGCTCATAGACATTTGGGTTGTTTTCACCTTTTTGGTTATTATGAATAACGCTGCTATGGACATTCATGTATAAATGTCTATGTGGATGATGTTTTCATTTTTTTTTTTCTTTTTTTTGAGATGGAGTCTAGCTCTGTCACCCAGGCTGCAGTGCAGTGGCATGATCTCAGCTCACTGCAACCTCTGTCTCTCAGGTTCAAGCGATTCTTGTGCCTCAGCCTCCCAAGTAGCTGGGATTACAGGTGCCTGCCACTATGCTCAGCTAATATTTTTGTATTTTTAGTAGAGACGGGTTTTCACCATGTTGGCCAGGCTGGTCTGAAACTCCTGACCTCAGGTGATCTGCATGCCTCAGCCTCCCAAAGTGCTGGGATTACAGGCATGAGCCACAGCACCCAGCCTAGTTTTCATTTCTTAAGAGTGGAATTTCTGGGTCATGTGATAATCCTATGTTTATTCGAGGAACTGCCAAAACTGTTTTATGAAGTGGCTACACCATCGTATATTCCCACCCACAGTGTATTAGGATTTTGATTTTTCTTTCTCCCAATACTTGTTATCTGACTTTTTGATTATAGTCGTTCTAGTGGGTGAGAAGTGGTATCTTGTACATTTGATTTGTCTTTCCCATATGACTAATGATGTTGAGTACCTTTTCATGTGTCTATTGGCCACTTGTATATCTATATTGAAGAAATCCCTAGTTAGATTTTAGCCCATTTTAATTGGGTTATTTGTCTTTTTATAATTTAATTGCAAGAGTTCTTTATATATTCTAGATAAAAGTCCCTTATTAGATTTGGATTCTTTTGTTTGGGTTTTCTGTTTTCATAATTTAAATTGCAGTAAAGATTCACAATATCTTTCTCAATTTAATGTTTTTTGTTAATAACTTTTGGAAGTTTGTTAATTTCCTTGCCTTGGGTTAAATCATCTAATCAATAAGGCCCAAACTGCTGGTATGAAGACTTTTATGTGCCTTTGGCCACAGGTGGTGCTGTGGCCAAACAGTCAATGTGTGGTAGTAGACAGTATAATGGCCAACCAAAGATGTCTATTCCCTAATTTTCCCAAATCTGCAAATAGGTTACCTTACGTGGCAAACAATACTTTGCAGACATGATTAACATGTTGAGGCTGCAGTGAACTGTGATTGAACCACTGCACCCCAGCCTGGGTGACAGAGTGAGATCCCATCTCTAAAACAAGAAGAAAAAAGAAATTTTCGAAGGGGAGGTTGTCCTGTGCTATCTGAATGTGACAGAACACTTCCTGGCTATGGTCAGAGGGAACTATGACTATTGATGAATGGTCAGAGAAGATGCAATATTGGTGGCTTTGATTATTGACAAAGGGGTCCATGAGCCAAGTAATGTGGGCAGTATCTAGAAGAGAGAAGACAAAGAAATGCATTCTCCCCTAGAGTCACAGGAATGGAATGCACCCCTGCTGATGCCTTGATTTTAGCTTAATAAAACCCATATTAGACTTCTGATTTACAGAATTGTAAGACAATACATTTTTATTGTTTTAAGCAATAAAGTTTGTGGCAATTTTTTACAGCAGCAAGAGGAAATGAATACATAACATAAGTATGGATTCTCATGCACCCAGCAGCTGAGTCAACAAAAATTTATAATTTCTATAAGAATAGCATTATTATAGCAAGGCTGGAGAATGTCTGATTCAGCTATAATGAGTCTTTTTTTCAGAATAAAGTCATTTATGAACTATACACATATATTTTCAGCATAATTTTTAGGAAGAGTTGTCAAAGGCATAAGGTTAATTTTAACAGCAAACAACTGGAGTCCCTCAGGTTTTTTTTATCTGAAATTCCCCAAATCTCTTAGTTATGAAGTGATAGGCATTCCTTCACAACATTGCTTATATTTTTCAGAAATTAGTTATTTCATTTATAATTAAAACTAAAATAACAACTACTTTTAAATGTTTCAAAAGAAATATGTGTTTATACATATATAATATATATTATATATATTACAAATAAATATTTGGGTTAGCAGAAAAAGAATGAAGAAAGAGCACAATAAGTTCAATGCAACCATAGAGTAACTCTATTTCCTATTCAGCCTTTCAGACTATTCAGACTAATTTCTGCAGCAATGAATGTGACATATTGACAAGATGACAAGGTATGGGAATATAATCAGACTGATTCACTCAAAATGAATATCACTTATGATGTCTGATCCAACTTATTTAGGTCAGTGCTTCTATAAGGGCTTTGGGTTTAGTGGTCTACATCAGTATGGACATTGGTGTAGAGACAAATACAAACTATAAACTAAAAGTTACATTTTTACATGGGAGTTTAGGTCATGGAATAGAAGTAGAAATAATAGATACATTTCACTTTCTTAGAAAAACAATGCTACCAGTTAATGCCAATATAATGTATTGGTTAAAAACTGGGGCATTAGATTTAGGTAGACTTAGACTGTATTTAATACTTTTCCTTATGTTGCTTGAGAATTATGAGCAAGTTACTTACCTTTCTAAGCCTCAGTGTTTTCATACATAAAAAAGAAGAAATATACCAATCGTGTTATGGTTTGGGAGAAACTTTAAAAGATAATAAATGCAAGACACCCTGTATACCACTTTAAACTAAATTTTAACTAAATTAGAAATCACAAGTAAAAGCTTAAAAAATCAGATTAAACTGTGTGTTTAAGATCTGTGCATTTTACTGTATATATAATATTTTAAGTAAAAATTGCAGTTCCTAAGTAAAAAAACAAAGTTCAGAAGTAGGTAATGCAGAGATTACATGACGACTCCATGGTCACCAGGGACTCTTGTATCTTTTAAGTTTATTTTATACTATCTGTCATAATCCTTAATGTTTCAATCATTAGGGTCCAACATGGCTGTTGTACTAGCCATGACATACAGATTCCAGGCAACAAGGAGCACTTAGAGAAGGAAAAAGGGGGCCCCCTTCCTAGATGAATCATCTCCCTTTAAACAGTCTTCTTGGAAGTCAGTATAACACTCGTACACACATCTCAGGGACTACAACCCAGTCATACGTTCAGTTTCCCAACCAAGAAGGCTGGGAAAATGTATTGTTTTGACTAAGCAAACTAATGCCCTAAACGAAATCTGAGACCTGTTACTAAAGAGGAAAAGATAAATGGATATGGGTGGCCACTGCAAATTCCATCACAGAGGGTCAATATTTCTCTAAGGGGAAAAACTAATTTCATTACTGTGGTAGATATGGGGAAGGTTTCTTCCTATTTGAACACCATAAAAGTGGAAAGCAATTCAAAATAATTATATTAAAACATATACCAGCCGGGCGCGGTGGCTCAAGCCTGTAATCCCAGCACTTTGGGAGGCCGAGACGGGCGGATCACAAGGTCAGGAGATTGAGACCATCCTGGCTAACACGGTGAAACTCCGTCTCTACTAAAAAAATACAAAAAACTAGCCGGGCGAGGTGGCGGGCGCCTGTAGTCCCAGCTACTCAGGAGGCTGAGGCAGGAGAATGGCGTGAACCCAGGAGGCGGAGCTTGCAGTGAGCTGAGATCTGGCCACTGTACTCCAGCCTGGGCGACAGAGCAAGACTCCGTCTCAAAAAACAAACAAACAAACAAACAAACAAAATATATATATATATATACCGATATATTAATGAAAGGAAGCAAAATTATATAACCTTTTAAGAGAAATGTTCATCAAACAACATCAAAGAAGATAAGTACTATGAGGCAGAATAAAGCAGGAGCCAGACATTCTCACTGTACTAGCTCTCTTTCCTTCCTGCTCAGACTTCACTGTAACCTTAGCGCATTACTGCTCTGTATACACCTGATGAATTAAGAACTAAGAAGCAAATCAACAGGGAACTTCAACTGACTATGTAGAAGCAATTTCTCATTATTTTTCCCGCTTATGCACTCCTTTTATTCCAGAACTAGTACTTTCAGATATTCCAGATATTCCAGAACTAGTATTTGTACAACTATTGACCTCATCAGTGTTTTGACTGGCAAGCTTTAAAACTATTCAAATTGGTATACTAATGAAGAAAAGATGAGATACCGTATTTAAAACAGCGACAACATGAGAAGTCCCACAGGAAAGTTTAGTATAATTTATAATTTATAGGAGGTTAACAGAAACACCATACTCTAAATTTATCATAAACATTAAAACATACAATATGAAAACTGATTATTTCAGTTGAATGCTGAAACCAAAATCATTTCTAGTGTTGGAGTTGTCTTCCATTTCTGGCTCAGGGCATTGGCCCTGAATATTGGGTAATATTGGCTTCAGAAATTTGAACTCGCTGGTCCCGGAATCTCCTGCCAGACACACCTCATACTGGTAGCTCTGGGATGGGGTCCTGGTGCCGCTCACATCCACCAGATATCCAGGAAAGGGGCCCTGAGGCACCAAGCAGCGACCCACAGAGGCAGCCCTGCTCCTCCTGCACAGTCGCACCGCCACGAACAGGAGCACCGACAACAGGAAGAGTGATGACACCGAGGCCAACGCCACCACCAGGTAAACAGTGAGCGATTCCGTCTGGGCCTGGGATGGGGTCGCCTCTGGGAGCGGCAGGAAGGGCTGGGAGAAGGCGTCCACTAGGAGCACGTGCAGCGTGGCGGTGGCCGAGCGCGGAGGCTCACCATGGTCCCTGACCAGCACCACTAGCCTGTGCTTGGCCGCGTCGCGCTCGCTCAGCAGCCTGGAGGTGCGCACCTCGCCATTGTGCGCCCACACGCCGAACAGCCCGGGCTCCGTGGCCTTGAGCAGCTGGTACGACAGCCAGGCGTTCTGGCCCGAGTCGCCGTCCACCGCCACCACCTTGGTCACCAGGTAGCCCGGCTCGGCCGCCCGGGGCACCAACTCGGTACAGGGCACTGAGCTGTTCTGCAGCGGGTACAGCACGAAGGGCGAGTTGTCATTGGCGTCCAGCACCAGCACGCGCACCAGCGCCTGGCTGCTCAGCGCGGGGGAGCCCCGGTCTGCGGCGCGCACGCGGAACTCGAACTCCTGCAGGGCCTCGTAGTCCAGCGACCTGAGGGCAAACAGGTGGCCGTTGTCCGCGTTGATGGAGACCAGGGAGGCGAGGGGCAGGTGCGGGTCCTGGGGCGGCAGCAGTGAGTAGGTGACCTGGGCGTTGGTGCTTGAGTCTCTGTCTGTGGCGCTGACGCTGCCGATGTGCAAGGCGGGGCTGTTGTTCTCGCGGACGAACAGGGTGTAGGAGATTTGGGTGAAGGCGGGGACGTTGTCATTGACGTCTGAGACCAGCACGGTCATATTGAGGTGTGTTGTCAGCCTGGGTGTCCCTAAGTCAGTGACGGTGATAGTGACGTTGTACTCGGCTCTGCTTTCTCTGTCTAGTGGTTTCTCCGTTAGTAGAGTATAAAAGTTCCCCACAGAAGATTTCAGGAGGAAGGGTAGATCCTCCTGAATGAAGCAATTTATTTTCCCATTTTCTCCTGAATCAAGATCTGAAACACTGAAAAGTGCAACCACAGTTTCAGGCGCGTTCTCAGGTATTGGGCTGGTAAATGCAGACATGGTAAATTCTGGGGCATGGTCATTCACATCCATCACTTGAATCAGAACGGTGCATTTTCCAGAAAAGCCTCCAGCATCTCTCGCCTCGATATTGACTTCATAGGACTGCAGTTTTTCGAAATCGAGTTGTTTTTTTAGTTCAATTTCTCCTGTCAAGGAATCGACCTTAAAAGTTTTGCTTATCTCATCTGAAGCTTGGAAAAGTGAATAGGAAATCTCTCCGTTGACTCCTGTGTCTACATCCGTGGCAGAGACCTTGACAACCAGGAAGCCTATTGGACTGTCCTCAGAGATCTGCACCCTATAGAAAGGCTGCTCAAATTCAGGGGCATTATCGTTAACGTCCACGACTTCAATGTAGACCTGAGCAGTGCCAGATCTGGGCGGAGAGCCACCATCCAGTGCTGTGAGTGTTAACCTGAGTTCAGCTTCTGCCTCTCGGTCCAGCGCTTTGTCCAGCACCAGCTCTGGATATTTCCTGCCATCACTGCGTTTGCGGGTGAGGACCCGAAAATAGGAGTTGGGGCTGATGATATAGTTCTCAATATTGTTTTGGCCTACATCTAAGTCTTCAGCATTCTTCAGAGGAAACGTAGTCCCAGGAGGACTGCTCTCTGACACTTTCACCAACATTTCTTTGTCCAGAAATACTGGAGAGTGGTCGTTTATGTCTATTACCTGTAGTTCAGCTTGAAAAAACTCGAAGGGACTCTCTAGCAACACTTGGAAATGTAGCACACAGGGCTCTGTGTGACCACACAGATCCTCACGGTCCAATTTCTCATTGAGCAGCAAATCCCCGGTCTCCTGATTGAGCTGCAAATGTAGTTTGTTCCCTCTGGAAACAACCCTAACCCCCCGCCTGGAGAATTCCCTCTGCTCCAGACCCAAGTTCTTTGCTAAACTGGTGACAAAGGAGCTGCCCTCAGTTTCCTCCACCACAGAATAGCGTCTAGGTTCCGCCGCGCCCGCCAGAGATAAGCCCAAAAGGAGAAAGTGAAAAAGGACTTGCCTTTGTCTGCAAATGAGCTTCCCGCTGGCCTCCATTGTTCTTGGTGGGTTCAGCTTCCTGGGAGGACGGTTCTGTGGGACTGTAAAGTCCCCAGTATCAGAGGCTGTGGTTATTCCACAGATACCTCAGAAATATTCCAGTGAATAGTCCTCTCCAGAGGACCCAGCTGTCCTCTCTTTGGCATCCAAGCTTTCCGTGGGCTTCCAGGTTCTGCTGCTCTTTGCTGGTTAATGGAGTTGCAGCTGCGGTTCTGGTTTGTACCTTCTTATCCTGCAGCGCCACCACGCGTCCTCACAGGATCTTACATTTTGTGAGATGATAATAGATGTAATATTCCCAACTTTGCCTGTATGTACCCTAGGACTATGTAAGGTACAACACCACCTTTAATATCGCCGGACGTTACGGAGAGACAACTGTCCGAAGTAGAAATTACATTAGTCTTTTAACAATGCTAACTGAGTTTTGGGCAAAAAGGAAATATTTAGGTAACAGTCTAACTTGGCAAAAAGAATATATGCAGAAAATTTCAAATATAATTGTAGTTAACATGGACAACATTTAGATCTTTATAGTTTTATTTCCATGAACCATATGAATAATTAGTAGCTGTCAACCTCGAACAAATTATTTAATCTCTCTGCTTTAATTTCCTCATCTGTGAAATGAGGATAATAATAGCACCTACCACATAGGGCTGTTGTGAATTCCCCACCTTACACATGAGGAAACTGATTCAAAGAGAGATTAACCTTAAAAATAAACTATATACCCGGTATATGGCAATTTTATATGACCAGGTAGGTGACTCTGCATAAATCCATTGCTATAACTAGAAAAACACCTCAAAATTCACATGATAGAATAGTACAGGAACATGACTATCTCAGGTAGAGAAGTTATGTCAAACAGTGAAGGTAAATGAACAAGGAAAGGCTGGAGAGTTTGTCTAAATAGAGACAAGATCTGTAACAGCAGTGGTGATTTTGTTTCTGGGGAAGCATGTCCTTTTTTGTTACCTCCACTTCTCTTCTAATAGCATCAATTTTAAAAAGCTTTTATTTTGATATTTTTCATATCTCATAAAAGGAGAAGAGTAAAATGAACCTCCAACTGCTCAGTACTAGCTTCAACTATTATCAATGTTTTGCCATAATTCTTGACTCTATCCCTCCAACATTTTTACATTCCAGACAAACTGAATTTTCACCCACAAATACTTCATTATACATTTCTTTAAATGCATAATGACTTTAAGTGACTCTAAAAATACCCGTAAGTACAATGCCATTATTATACCTAAAAATTAAGTTAGTATTACTTAATAGCCATCTATATTAAAACTCATCCAAGTGTTTCAAAGTCATTGCTGATGTTTGAAACAAGATCCAGACAAGATCTACACATTACATTTGATTGATAGATCTCGTAATATCTTTCCTAGTGTAGACTTCTCTCCTCCTGTTTTTCATGCCATTTATTTGTTGGAGAAATTAGATAATTTTGCCCTAAGACCATGAAAGCATTTTAAGATTTTACTGCTGTGATGTGGTTGTTTTTTTTTTTTTGTTTTTTTGTTTTTTTGTGGTTTTTTTGCCTTTAGATTCTAGCCCACCAGTGATATACGGTAATACTACCTTTATTAGAGTTACCAGCACTAAATTATAATATTTTCAGAACACAACCATGCAAAAATTATCTAGATATTTTAAAAATAAAAATCGGTTGTACATTTTTATTTAAAAAGTGATTTTCCTTAACTTTCCAGAATTTCTAAAAATTTAATGAACATCTATGTTTCTCTTTGATATTATGCATTTAAAACTATTATTTTTCTTAGATTTTCCTGATTCAATAGTGCACTATAATTAATAGAAAACTTTTAAAAACAAACTTTCAAATCAGGAAAATGTATTACAAATGTTAAGTATGGGTGATGGCAGAAAATCTACAATGTAAAGAAAATAATTAACTAATGATGCAATCAATATTATGTAATATTCCTACTCAGGACCATTAATCTTTTTCTGTGAAATGAAAGTCATATATTCTGAAGACAAGGAGAAGGCACAGGTTGCCCTTTCAATTTTGTTTTTCACTTGAGTTTGAACAGATTAGAGCATTAGTAATAATAGTTGAAAACGGACCCAGAAAAGCAGGACTTTTGGTTTATAAGAAAATAAAACTATAGATAAATATGTACATTATTATTTCTAAATATAGAAAAGATTGAACAGTAGTATAAATATGATAAAAGACTTCTTCTCCTTAATTAGGCAGAAACTTGCCAGGTGATATCTAATGACAGAAAACAGTATGGAATTAGAGCAGGGTCACTGACCCAGAGTCAGACAGATCTGGGATGGATGATCAGTTTTGTCACTTATTAGTGCACTTTAGTGAACTTATTGACTCTCTAAGACCATCTATTTGTTCATTCCTAAAATAACATGCCTCATATGCTTCTCAGATTAAAAGTGTTAAAATAGTGTATGATGCATTAAAAACATTTTTTTAAAATGCTTAAAAAGATCTACAGTCTATGCTGAGACTAGGGTAGGTACACTCATACAGCATTCTAATCAACTCAGAAAGTCTCAGTAGAGATTGAAAACAATGGAAAGCAATTTAAAATATCTTAAACAAGACTTACATTTAATAGACCGTATATTAAGCATAATTGTTTGACATAAAACGTTACACATATACATTTCATGCTTTATGAAGGGTTCTTGGTACTAAATCAGGATCCTATTCTATGTATAGATATTTATTTCTTGTCTTCAAGAGTACATATTTGAAATGATCTAAAGACATTCCCTTACAGGCACCTCACAATAAGTTCCTAATCAAAAATGTATTCACAGACGCGGATTTATTTTCATTCTTTATCAGAAACCCAAAATATTCTGAAATGGGCGATTTTCTTCAACTTCCCTACCTGTGCTCTGGGGTAGCAGGTTGGGGATAATTGGCTTCAGAAACTTGAACTCATTTGTCCTGGAGCCTCCAGTCAGACACACCTCATACTGGTAGCTCTGGGAAAGGGTCCCAGTGTGGCTCACGTCCACCAGATGTCCTGGAAAGGGGCCCTCGGGCACCGAGCAGCGACCCACAGAGGCAGCCCTGCTCCTCCTGCACAGTCTCACCGCCACGAACAGGAGCACCGACAAGAGGAAGAGCGACGACACCGAGGCTAACGCCACCACCAGGTAGACGGTGAGCGAGTCGTCCTGGTCCTGGGCCGGGACCGCTTCCGGGAGCGGCAGGTAGGGCTGGGAGAAGCCGTCCACCAGGAGCAAGTGCAGCGTGGCGGTGGCCGAGCGCGGAGGCTCGCCATTGTCCTTAACCAGCACCACCAGCCTGTGCTTGGCCGCGTCGCGCTCGCTCAGTAGCCTGGCGGTGTGAACCTCGCCATTGTGCGCCCACACACCGAACAGCCCGGGCTCCGTGGCCTTGAGCAGCTGGTACGACAGCCAGGCGTTCTGGCCCGAGTCGCCGTCCACCGCCACCACCTTGGTCACCAGGTAGCCCGGCTCGGCCGCCCGGGGCACCAACTCGGTACAGGGCGCGGAGCTGTTCTGCAGCGGGTACAGCACGAAGGGCGAGTTGTCATTGGCGTCCAGCACCAGCACGCGCACCAGCGCCTCGCTGCTCAGCGCCGGGGACCCGCGGTCTGCAGCACCCACGCGGAACTCGAACGCCTGCAGGGCCTCGTAGTCCAGCGACCTGAGGGCAAACAGGTGGCCGTTGTCCGCGTTGATGGAGACCAGGGAGGCGAGGGGCAGGTGCGGGTCCTGGGGCGGCAGCAGCGAGTAGGTGACCTGGGCGTTGGTGCCTGAGTCTCTGTCTGTGGCGCTGACGCTGCCGATGTGCAGGGCGGGGCTGTTGTTCTCCCGGACGAACAGGGTGTAGGAGGTTTGGGTGAAGGCGGGGGCGTTGTCATTGACGTCGGAGACCAGCAAGGTTATGTTGTGCTCAGTTTTCAGCCTGGGTGTCCCCAAGTCGGTGACGGTGATGATGATGTTGTACTCAGTGTTCCTCTCTCGATCCAAAGGTTTCTCTGTTACCAGAGTGTAGAAGTTCTCTACAGATGGCTTCAGGATGAAGGGGAGATCGTCCTGGATGGAGCACGCTGTCTTTCCATTGTTCCCAGAATCTCTGTCTCTAATCCTAAAAACAGCCACGACTGTCTCGGAGGAGTTTTCTGCAATTGGGCTAGTAAGTGAAGACAGGAGCAGCTCGGGTCGATTATCGTTTATATCTGTTACCTCAACCACCACAGTGCATTTTCCAGAAAGCCCGCCGCCGTCTTTGGCCTGAATAGTTAATGTGTAAGTTTGAATTGCCTCATAGTCCAGTTCTGCTTTAAGATGAAGACTGCCAGATGTTGGATTAATTTGAAACGTTTTGAGAATTATTTCAGTGGCATAAGAAAATGCATAGGCTATTTCCCCATTACTTCCGGTATCTAAATCTCTGGCTGACACGGAGATAACCATGGAACCAACGGGGCTATTTTCGGGCACCTGCACTTTGTAAAGCGACTGCAGAAAATCAGGGGCGTTGTCATTTATGTCTAGAACCAGGATGCGTAAGAGGGCCGTCCCTGATCTGGGAGGAGAGCCGCCATCTAAAGCGGTGAGGGTTAAACTGAACTCTGGTATCTCTTCCCGATCCAGCACTTGATTCAGCACCAATTCGGGATAGATATTCCCCTCCCCACTATCATGGACATTAATATGGAAATACGCATTGGGGCTGATGGTGTAGTTACTCAGGCTGTTGGTTCCAACATCTGAATCCTGTGCACTTTCTAGGAGAAATGCCGCCCCTGGAGTTGTACTTTCTAATATTTTCAAGGAAATCTCTCTGTCTAGAAATACTGGAGAGTGATCATTGATGTCTCTGACCCTTAGTTCAGCACGGAAAATCTGAAAAGGTTTTTCCAATAACAACTGGAAAGGCAGCACACAGGGCTCTCTGGGGCCACACAGTTCCTCTCGGTCCAATTTCTCATTTAAAAGTAAATCAGCAGTAAGCGGATTGAGCAGTAAAAATGGCAAGTTCTGGTCTGAAACAATTCTAGTTCCGCGGACTCTCAGTTCCCCTACCCCTAACCCTAGGTCTTTCGCCAAGTTGGTAAGAAAGGTGCCTCTCTCGGTTTCCTCCGCCACAAAATACCGAAGCGGTTCGGCGCCAGCCAAAGACATTCCCAGAAAAACACAAAGAAATAGGACTTGCCTTTTCTGCACAGCACGCACTACTCTGGCCTCCATTCTTCCTTGGATCAGTCTTTCAAAATGACTTCCACTCAGCCTCCAGCAGCTCTCACAAATGGCAGCAGCCGAATCCTTTGAAATGAGCTGAATAATACCAATGTTTGTGGGGAAGGATCCTTACTTTCCCCCAATTCCTATTACCACCTTTTCCTTTCCTACACTTTTCAGATTTCGTTTTTACTCTGGAATCTATAACGTCCTTTCTTTGGGAAGATATTTTTCTCTCTCTTTTTAGCCAGCAGCGCCACCTTGCGTTTTGTGGGTGTTATTCCCGTTATGAAGACTAGAGGAAAAAGATGGCGGATTGAAGGAATTCTGCAACAAGAGTGATTTGTCCCCGGGTTCTTTGCTGTTTCATTCCATCTTTATCCTCAAATGGTCACAGTAATGCTAGTAAGTAAAAGCTGATGTCGTTTTCCCCTGTGGTAATCTGGATTCGTAGAAGAATTAATTTATTGTCTTCTTAAATCTAGGGGCATGCAACTAAACTCTGGCTCCCTACCGAAATCCTAAGAAAACCTCCTATTTTAAAAATGGATAGTAAAAATATATATGAGAAAATGAAGCCTCTTCCTTGAAGTCAACAAATATTCGTTGGGGACATTTTATTTATTTGTAAAGTATTTAACAATAATAACGTGAATATGGCGGAATAATTGACCTTTTTCCAATTTCTTGTGAATTAAACAATTATTCCACTTTCCAGGTCTTACTCTTTACCCGTGATATTTCTTGGAGCACTTTCTGCCTTCCCCCAACCCGACCTTCGTCCTTCACCTGCTTTAAGTAGTATACAGAAATTATTGTTCATCTATAATTCTAGTGACTAGAATCTCCAATATCCAATGAATACTCTTAAAAGTAATAGTAGCAAGTAGGTCAATCTTGCATTTGTGGAAGTGCTTCTAGCATTTCATCTTCAACTATGATGGTTGATCTCAATTTGGGGTAAATATTCCTTTTTTGAATCAAGAAAGTTTTCTTTTTATTCTTTCATATTTTGAAGTGATTTTTGATAGCTGTTGAAATAATGCAGTTATTCTTTAGTTTCTAAATTATTGAGTTATTGATATAAATGGCATTTAACCATAATGTATTATTGTTTTAGTGCACAAATAGATATGATGTGTCAACATGGTTTTAGGATTTTTCTAGTTAATGTTGTTTTCCTTGGGTGTGTTTGCCTTTTATGGCTTTGCTATACTGGCATCATAGAATGTGTTAAGGAGCTTTTTATCTATTTTATACAATAGTTTTAATAATTATATTATTCTATGTTTCTACATGCTTAATTCCAACTTGCCTTTTAAACTGGTTAGGTTTGGTGACTTCACTTGCAGTAGATCTATGACTACCATGTACATTTTACCTTTGGTTATTAATCTGTTCAGGTTTTGTATTTTTAGGTAACTTGCATTTTATTTTGAAAATCATTTTATCTAGTTTGGAAATTTCTTGGCATGTTTTCATTGTGTTATTTACCTTTAATTGTATCCCTATTTTTGTTAGTGATGTTTAGCATTTTATCTCCTTTTTGTTCTTGCTGAGACTTGCAAGAGCTCTACTGATATTTCAAAATGCATTTTTTTCCAAAATAATACGTGACCTTGTCCAAAATTAAATAGCACTAAGAGGCTTATAATAAAATACAATGCTTTTCTGCCCTTTTCCACCTCACTTTTCTTAGTTCCCCCCCTAAGAGGTAGCCATTTTAAAACTTTTAGTTATCTCTTTGGTCACTAATCTGTTTTCTGATATATTTTGATAAATTAATTTTAGAAATTATCAATTGACTCCTTATTATGTTAGATTACATTTTAGGTATTTCAGATTTTCTTTTACTTACCATATATTGGGAGCATTATTGTGCATTAATTATATTTTCTTTTTCAATTTTTTCTTGAAGTTAATAATTGTCTTGCCTTTTCATTTATTGATTTTTTTATCCCTATCACTTATTCATCCCACAGATACAATTGCCTCTCAGCACAATTTTCCCCATAGTCATTTCCATTCCTCCTGAGACTTCAATTTTTCTTTGAATAGGGCAGTTGCTTTCTATGCCTACTGCACAGCTATCATTCTGGATTTTTTCTTTGCTCTCATTCTTGGAATTCTTTGCCTTTTATACTGGATGTGTTTGCTAGTTCTGGGATTTTATAACTTGCCCTTTTTCAGTTTACTCTGTGGAATTAACTAGACTACATCCTCCAGTAGGTTCATATGATTGAAAAGATGATACAATGTTAAGAGGATTGCTAATGATATCCTTCAAAATCCCTGTCTCTTGAGTCAAATAGCTCCTTACTGGACTAGTTGTTCATTATGCCTGAGACTCAGTTGTCATCCTGGGATCCTCCTTCAACATCACCCAGAGATTCATTTCACTTCTGTCCTGTTTTGGATCTTCTCATTTCTGTTTCTTCTGTCTTGAATTGGGCTCTCATTTTGATAGATATCTTCCAGTAGTTTTCAGAGAAGGGTGTTTCAGAGTTAAATGTTTTTGTGATCTTAAATGTACTAAAATGTCTTTATTCTACCCTCAAACTTGATTAGTAGTTTGACTAAGTATAGAGTTTTAGCTTTAAAATAATTTTTCTTCAGAATTTTTGTTTTGTCAATGAGATTTCCAAGCCAATCTGTTTGCTAAGAAGTCTAAAGCTAATCTTATTTCTTGTCTTCTATGTGTCATTGTCCCAAGAATTTTAAAATTAAACAATTACATGTTTTGGCTTGGGGTTATTTTCCATCCATTGTACAGTATAATTGATGAGACATTTCATCTAGGAAACTAATTTCCTCCTGATCTTAGAAGTCTCCTTAAATTATTTCGTTAATAATCTAACTCCCATTCCTTTTTTAGAATTTCTGTAATTCAGATGTTAGACCTCTGGTATGGTTCTCTAATTTCTTTATTTTTTTCTCTCCTACTTGCCATTTTAAAATATTTTTGCAGTATTTTCTTGAACGTTTTCTTAACTTTGTCTTCAAGCCCTTATATTGAGATTTTTACTTCTTTATTAAGTTAGTATTTTCCTAGACTTATCTCTTTTATTTAAAGAGCTCTCTTTTGGACTTATTTCTTAGATGCAATAACTTCTTTTTTCATCTGATGATATTAATAATAGCTTTCCCCCCAAGTTTTCTTCTTGCTGCAGACTTTCCATTTTCTCCAAGTTACCTTTTTACTCTTTGTTTTTCTTTAATTTCTGTATGCCTTTTCAGAAACTTTCTTCATGTGTTTGTTCTTAATTTAATTTGGGAGACTACAGAGCTGAGTGATGGCTCTGAGTAGGTTCGTAATTCTTGTCCACTTTGAGTTTTCATTCTAAAGTGAACTGGGAGCACTGATGGATGGGGAAACCTTAATGTCAGTGTGATTAGGTCTTTCTAGTTGGACTGGCCAGATTACCGCACTCTTTAAAATCTCCCATCCAAAAGGAAAAGATATAGATTGGAAAAGGTGAAGGATTAAGTGGGTGAAGAGGAGTACAGTTTTGCATCAGGATAGGCTAAGTTATGCTTCAATACCAAACAACTTCCCCAAATCTCAACAGCTTAACACAATGAAAGTTGATTTCTTTCTTATACTATATACCCTATATTGTTCAGCCTGGAGCCCTCCTCACTGCAGTCAGTCAAGGATCTAAACTTGTGAAGATTCCATCTTCACATATACTTCCGTGATCACTATAGTGGGAGAAGAAAATATGTTAAACCATGCCTCCAAAAACTTCAGCCCAGAATGGATATATGTCACTTCTCACATTTTATTAACCAAAGAAAATTACATGGCTACACATATTTAAAAAGAAATAGAATTGAAATTCTACCATATGTCCAAGAAGGGGAGAACCAAAATATTTGTAATTGGTTCTAATGATTAGCATAGCATTTTAACAATCAACCAGAATTCAATACTTAGATGGTTACTTACTTTTGCTGTCCATATTACCCATGCCCTCCATTTTGTTGGCAGCACCTCTCATATAATAACCCTGCTTTTTGTACTCATCAGAAAATAAAACTCCAGACTTCTCTTAGGGTCAAGGGGATAGGTAGGTTACTCAGTGACTGGAGTGGGGAAATGTGATCTAACTGCTAGAGATTTAACTGCTTTACAGGGAGCTTTAACACAATCTTTTTTATTTGGCATGCTACTATCATTTCCAGAGGATCTAGGATTGACATTTCAGATGCCTCTATATGTCCCACTATCTAAACAGAATTGATTCTAGACCCACAGTCTAAACAGGATTGATTCTCAACTCTTCCCATTTACACTACAACTGGTAGTTGATTTGTCAGGTCTACTAAATCATTCATCTGTTTTCCAACTTCTAAGAGTTTTCCCTGTTATCTTCTACATTATTCTCTTCATCCTTATTAAGTTTGTTTCTGAAAATATCTGTTCACTTTTTCTTAGTGCATTTTTAGAGGGAGCCAAATGAAAGGTACATGTCTCATACATCAGTTATACATAGAACCTAAAATATCCTTGGCTTTTTCAAAGAAATAACTTTTTGTTTAATTGGTCAAATATTATGTGGTTTTATTCTGTATAATCAATTTGTGCTTTCATATTTTTAATTCATTCCTTTTATTTTCCTTATTTTAAAAAATTCTTGTTTTGATTCTGAGTCATTTACTTTGTCCCTTTTTTCACAATAAACCTTGATTTCTAAAATATGCATGTAAGTCTTACATTTTCTCTATTCACCTTTTTACTCTTACCTTAAATATCACTTTATTAAAGAAACTTCTTATATCAGCTAGAATTATATTCTATATAACTTATAGATCTACGTTCTATATCAAATTAGCCTGAAGTTACAGACAAAGTCATAATAACAATGACTTAAACAAAATATAAAAGAAGGCTAGTGGCTGAAATGCACTCCATGATATCTGGGACCCAGTCTTGTTCCATCATTGATTTGCTATCTTCAGGATATGGCCTTTACTTCATTGTCCAATATAGTTGCCTAATAACCAGTCATTACATCCCCATTCATGCCAACAAAAAGAGGAAGGAAAGGGTGTGCTTTCACTTTTTTAAAAGATTATTTCCATAAGGTACTCCATGGCACTTGTGCTTTTATCTCACAGTCTATGATTGAGTTACAAGATGACACCTGGCTTCAAGAGAGGTTGAAGAATATAATCTATAGCTCACATACCTACATAAGCAGCTAAAATCAGAAGTATATTAGTAATAAATAAGGGGAGAATGTATATTTGGGTTAAAGTAGCCATCTATATCATACCCACTTAGACCTGACCTATTGCCCCAACTGCCCACTAGGAACAGATAGGGTCAAAAAAGTTATCCAGTTCAGAGCAGTTATTAAAGGAACATATGACTGCCTCTCTCCTTATTGGTGGTGTGGCTTGTATCCAAAAGAATTCTTGTTCACTGAATGCTAAGCCTACGAAGCAATAGAGAAATTAATTCAAGTGCTAGGACAAGGCCTTTTGAACAATGTTTCCCCGGTGTGCTATACGGAATATGCCATCAATTCCTGTTTCATTTTATAAATTTTTTAAAAATTCGGGGTCTAGAAAGCATAAAACTCCATTTTTCAGACTTCTTAGAATTATTATTCTGTATGTAAATTAGGTTTTACCAATGAGATTCCTTCATGTGAGTCTTAGAATACAGGCAAAGGTTGTCTTCCACTGTTCACCAATAAGGTCAGAAAGATGTGAATGCTTGCAGCCAAGTCAGCATTCCTCTGTTTAGCCATCACCTTCATAGGGAACTGGAGACCACTGTGGCATCCAGACACTCTGTGTCAGTGTGCAGCCATCAGTTTTGGAGGTGGGAGAGGGCACTGTGGGAGCAACAACTTTGGTAGTAGTAGTAGCATCAGCTTCCTGATTCCTGTGCTGCAGCTGTGGTCATATGCCTTCAAAACCATTTCAGTGGTGACTGCCTTTCTTCTGCTTGTCCAATTCTTCCAGTGATTTTATATAAGCATCTAAGTTCTTGTAGTTGATATCCTTTTTGGTTTTGGTTAGAGACACACAGAATGGTTTTTGGTTTTTGTCCTGAACTCTGAATAATTCATCCAAACTCAAAATTTTATTCCTTCACTCAAATTATAAGTACTAGGAGTCTCTCAATTAGAGTTCGTAAAAGAAAAAAAAGTGTGAAACATAAAATCATCAAAGCTTTAAGGTACTAGTCCCTTAATCAGATACAACTTAGTTTAAGAATAGGAGAGAATAAAAAATTTCTGATGTACTCCTGAGAGACTAAAGATAAAAGTGTTTGATAAATTTGATGTATATCTTTTTTAAAAAGCAGAACATGGTCTGAAGGTGAATAAAAATCTTTCTTCCTCCTTTCATGTGTAACACAGTAAGTCAAAATTAGTTTTAAAAATGTATTATTTGTAAAGAAATAAGAAAGGGCTCAATATCACATTGTAAATGTTAAAAATGAAAGCTGGGTCACATATTTTAAATGACATATTATTAGGTGAACAAAGCAAGTATCAAATACTATAAATAATAAATGGATATTTTATAAAGATAAAGAAATAAAATATTTTGTTATCATGTTTAGGCTTACTAAGCCAGATAAAATAACAGACTGAAATTTATTTATTACTTTATTCAACATTCATTCACCTATATTTATTTCAATACAGCCATGCGCTGCATAACAATGTTTGGTCAACCATGGATGGCATATACAATGGTGGTCGTGGAAGATCATAATGGAGCTGAAAAATTTTTGTTGCCTAGTGATGCTATACCTATAGTAATGTCATAGTGCAATGCATTATCTGTTCTATGTTTAGATGCACAAACACCATTGTGGTATAATTTTATCTAGTAGTCAGTACAGTAACATGATGTACAGGTTTGCAGCCTAGGAACAATAGGCTCTACTGGGTATCCTAGGTGTGTATAGTAGGCTACATTATCTAGATTTGTGTAAGTACACTCTATGATGTTGGAACAATAATGAAATTGCCTGATGACACAGTTTTCAGAATGTATTTCTGCTATTAAGCAATGAATGGCTGTGTATATTTTTCTAAGCCCATAAGATAAAGAGCCCTCTCTGTGAAGAGAGTACTGTCTAGTGGAGAGGGGAGATTATTGATTTGTCTGAGCAGAGTACTCAGTTGATGAAACATTGGATTCAATGTATGTAAAGGAAAAATAGCCTAATTAATACATAATGGAAATGGTGGAAAAACTGAATCTTCAGGTTGAATAAACATTAGACAGAGCTTGTCATTTCTGAAAATGATAGTATTGATAATTCATATGACCCTCCTAAGGAAAACAAAATATAATGGACAAAACTTAAGAAAAAACTTCTAAACTAATGAAGAGCCAAAAACATAGTAGAAAATGGCAGAAAAAGCCCAATTTCTTATGGAAGCCTGTAATAGAGGGGTAAACAGAGTATCAGAACAACAGTTCTCATGCTCTCAGGGAATTTAAAAATATTTGTACTCAGGCTTTGATCTGAAGCTATGTGGGATTAAAGAAATATAAATCAAGGCTCAGGTGTAACCACAGTTGCAGCATATTATAGAAAGATCTTCTTCATATTAAGGGACCCCTCAGGGATACATCCATAATGTAAATACAGTGTAAACACCAGCAATCTAAACCTGCCCTCAGCCTCCAACTCCAGGGAATTGCATAGAAATCTCCCTGATGTTAAGCAGAGCAGAAGAAAAAGAAAAAAAAAAACCATGCCTGGGAAGTTGTATCTACATATTGGGGTGTGTGTGTGTATTGAGATGGGGTGTTACTATACTGCCTAGGTGGTATAGAACTCCTGAGCTCAAGTGATCTTCCCACCTCAGCCTCCTGAGTAGCTGGGACTACAGGTGCGCACCACTGCACGTGGCCCTCTTGTGTATTTGTATTTTGAATATACATAGGTTGAGATGCAAGGAGCCTCAAGCCATTTAATTAATTTGTGATGGTCCACTATTGATAGTGTTTCCAATATCCCGGCTGAAACAAATGAAAATCTCTTTTGAAAGATGGAACATGTACAACCTAGGCTTTGTAGATACCCCACAAATAAATTTTCAAGGGCAATCAACCATGCATGTCCTACAAAGAAACAAAGACATCATGAATGAGAAGGAGCAGAAACAAAATAGAGTAGGCATAGGCCCACACAAACTTCAGATATTAGAACTATAAGGCATATTTTAAAACCAAATATATGATATACTTGAAAATATCTGCATGAGCAGATTGAAAAGGCACGAGGAGTTCCAGGGAAAAGTAATGTGTAATTACCATAATCAAGACACAATCTGATAAAGATAATGAATTTCGAGGATAGAAAACAAGTTACCTACAGGTGAAGCAAACAGGCTTCAGAATTTCCCTGAGCAACATTTCATACCAAAACAGAATTGAAATGTCTACAAGATTCTGAGGGAAATAAATTATGGCTCAACTATTTTATACATAGCCAAGCTGTTGCTCAAGTACAAAGACAACAATGCAGCAAACAGGAAAGAATTCATTAAACCTTGTGCTAGTACTGATGAATTCTTACTGAAAAAAATACTACTTAAGGATAAAAATCAAGTGACTTATAGATGACTGTAGAAACTATGACAGAATAACTAATGTTATATTTAATGTCAACAAATCTTTGAGGAAAAGAAAATCCACTGAAAAATTTTATACCCTGCTAAACTATATTTCTCAAGCATGTGAAAAAATACAGCACCTATGAACTCTTATCTAAAGACTGACATCTGATGAAATCAAGCAAATCAAGCGATAAAACAACATAAATGATTCAGGTACAGGAAAACTAGCACAATATGACTGACAGTAAGGACTGCATTTTACTCCGGTTTGAGCACACTAGTTTTTCTCAATTTTTTCCTGAAACTTTATGTAAATGATAGAGGGCAAGGGTTTAAAATAAACAAAGCTATAAAGACAAAAATAATGGGAAGAGAGTAAACCGTAGGGGAGAGATGTCACAAAAATTTTGGAAGATGCGAAGCACACAGACAATTGGTAACTGACAGTTTTCTTCTTGCTCTCAAATGAAAAGGAGGAAAGTTAGTAAGAAAAATCAAATCTAGCCAAAGTAATAATCCAGATTGAGGACCCAGGGAGAGGCTAAAAAAAAACACTGGCTGAAAATATATATAAGGAGTATTTAGATCTGAGAATTCCTTTCCTAGTCAGTGAAGCAAGGCACTTTCCCTTTTCTCATCATGGCAGAAAATCGGAGGTGTAATATCCATAGTGGTTTAATAGGAAGGACTCTGGACTAAAGGACAACAGCACAACTTAGGGCAGGACTGAGATCTTAGTGAGAAAGTGGGCTAAAAAAAATTAAGACACTTTCTCTCAAACCAAGGAGCTTACAGAGTGCTAGGTGTCAAGTTTATAGTAACTTCCATCTTACCCATCCTTACTGAATTCCTCTCTGAAGAACAATGTGAGCCCAAGAGCAAAGACTTACAGATATTGACATTTTTTCTCCAAATAAAATGTTTCCTGTTTCATTACCCTAAGGTGAGGTCCACCACTCAGTTAGACTCACCCAAACATACAATGTTTATCAACTTTTAAGTGTCTTATTTTATAAAAGGAAAAAATAGCCTGGGAATGGTGGCTCATGCCTGTAATCCCAGCACTTTGGAAGGCTGAGATGGGTGGATCACCTGAGGTCGGAGTTTGAGACCAGCCTGGTCAACATGGTGAAACCCCATCTCTAATAAAAATACAAAAAAATCAGCTGGGCGTGGTGGCAGGCGCCTGTAATCCCAGCTACTCAGGAGGCTGAGGCAGGAGAATCACTTAAACCCAAGAGGCCGAGGTTGCAGTGAGCTGAGATTGTACCACTGCACTCCAGTCTGGGTGACAGAGCAAGACTCTGTCTCAAAAAAAGGAAAACAATACATAATTGGGCTAATCAAAATTTTAAAAAATCTTTTTTACTTCAAAGGACACTACCAATAAAGTGAAAACACAACTCAGAGAATGGCAGAAAGAATTTGTAAATCATGTATCTGATAAGAGTCTATTATCTAGAATATATAAAGAACTACTAACATTCCACAATTAAAATATTTTGAAAATTAGATTAAATAACTGGCAAAGAATTTGAGTATACATTTCTTTAAAGAAGATATTCCAATGAACAATAAACATATGAAGAGAAATATAACATCATTAGTCATTTAGGAAATGCAATTCAAACCACAATAGGATACTACTTCACACCTTCTAAGATGGCTATAATAACAAAAAATAAGTGTTGGTGAGGATGTAGACAAATTGGAATCCTCATACACTGTTGAGAGGAAAGTAAAATGGTATAGTCACTTTGGAAAGCAGTTTGATAATTCCTCCAAAAGTTATATAGAGTCAGTATGTGACCCAGTAATTCCAATCCTAGGTATACACCCAAGAGAAATGAAAACATGTTCACACAAAAACCCATACATGAATGTTCCTAGCAGCATTATTCATAATAGCCAAATCGTGGAAATAAACCCAAATGTCCACCAACTGATGAACAAACAAAATGTGGTACATTCATACAATGGGATATTATTTAGCCATAGAAAAGAACAAAGTGCTGATGCATGCGATAACATGAATGAACCTTGAAAACATTATGTTAAGTGAAAGAAGCCAGACATATTCTATGATTCAATTTACATGAAATGTCTAGAACAGGCAAATCCAAAGAAACATAAAGTTGATTAGTGGTTTCCAGGGGCTGGAAGGAGGAGGGAATGGGGATCGACTGCTTATGCGTAACAGGTTTCTTTTTTGTGCTGATGAAAATGTGAAAAATGTTCTGGAATTAGATAGTGGTAATAATTGTACAGCCCTTGGAATATACTAAAAACCACCAAACTCAATTTTTTAAAAAGTGAATATTATGGTATGTGAATTGTATCTCACCAAAGAATTTTAAAACTGCAAGGCTACTGTAGAAATAAATATGCAAAGACCAAGAAAAAGCTTTTTGAAAGTAAAACGATGATAGCAAAAGCTCAAAATTCAGCCATAGAGGAAATTTACTGGAATCCAGGAAAATAAAGACAGAAGATAGAACAAGGATAAGAAAAATTAAATATCAAACCAGGTTACTATACAACTAACAGAAATTGCAGAATAAAAAACCAAAAACCATTTAGTAGAGGAAATAATTTTTTAATTAAAAAAACCCTAACAAGCCTGTTCTAGTCTGAAGAACATGTGTCAAGATTGGCAAGTCTCACTGAGTAATTAGTGCAATAAAAGACCAAAATTCTTACACTATGACACAATGATGAAATTCTAGAACACTGGAGATAGGTACAAGAACCTTAATATATCTGGAGCAGGGTTTCTCAGCTTCAGCACTCTTGGCAGCTGTGACCATCAAAAATGTTTGCAGACATTGCCAAAAGTTTGATAATTGCCAAACATTTACCAAAGATGGCAAAATTGCCATTGGTTGAGAATCAGGGATCTAGAAGGAAAATAAAGTTTCTCAGAAAAGAATGAGTAATCAGAATGTTGATGATCATCTCAACTTTGGTGATTAGAAGACAACAGAGGAATGTCTTCAAAATACTAGCGGCAAATAATTCCTAACCTATAATTCCACACCCAACAAAATCTTCAGATAGACATTTGAGTTTCTGACATCTGAAATTTTTTATATTCAAGCGATCAAAAGATTTATTACCAAATATTCTCCTGACAGTTAAGGGAGAAAACCAAACAAGAGGAAGATGTAACATTCAGAAGAGGAAATCAAATGGAAGAGGAAGATAAATTCCCAAGTTAGTGGGAAAAAGCAAACTGCCAGCTGTGCAGTAGGTCTAGAGAGCAAACAATGTACAATGGAACAAGACTCTGAATAGCTCCAGGATGGCTCCAGGAGAAAAGAATAGAACCAATAGATTTCTTTATGAGTTTAACTTAAGCTTCAGACCTTACAAAATTTGTGGATAATTTTTAAAAATGTACATAGAAAAGTAGTTGAAAAAGAAGGCAATTATGACCTTAAAGGTAAAAAAATAGGCTTTTCCTTTTACTCTTAAGGCTTAGGTGTAAGTAACATTTTTATGGTGAAAATTATATAAACATTATCTAAACAGAATTTTGATATTGCTACGTAGAGGAAATGTGCAAGTTGTGTGTGTGTGTGTGTGTGTACCCCTTAAAAACTGGATATCTAAAACTGGGATTTGAGAAAAAGCACTTTATAAGCATATGTGATTTTAAAAATAGGGAAGTAAATATGGGAAAACACATAAGAACATCAAAAGTGGTTACCCTGGGCAGTCAGACTTGAATAAAATGGAAAAAAAAGTAGCATTATATGACTTTTAAATTAAAATTTAAAAAATATGAAATGCTGGCCAGGTGTGGTGGCTCACACCTGTAATTCCAGCACTTTGGGAGGCCGAGGCAGGTGGATTACCTGAAGTCAGGAGTTCGAGACCAGCCTGACCAACAGGTGAAACCGCATCTCTACCAAAAATACAAAATCAGCCAGGCATGGTGACACATGCCTGTCATCCCAGGTACTTGGGAGGCTGAGGCAGGAGAATCGCTTGAACCCGGGAGGTGGAGGCTGCAATGAGCCCAGATCGCGCTACTATATTCCAGCCTGGGCAATAAGAGTGAAACTCCGTCTAAAAAACCAATATGAAATGCCTAAACAATTATGGCAAGTATTCTTTCAAAATACATTGTAAATGTTATAAGTATTGATAAGGTAATATATATTTAAATCTAAAAGGATAAGTAAGGTTAAGAAAGAAGAGAAAGGGTATAAAATGTTTATCTGCTCATTTTTAAGCAGGTGGTTAAGTAATGCTAATGTCTTAATATGCATCTAATCTTGCTTTTTAAACTTTACAGGCACTACTTATCAAAGCTTAAGCAAGTTCTATAGTTTCACACTTCGTTTTATTGTATTCAATCTGATCATTTTAATCAGAAGCTATCAATTTATTATAGATCCTTTTTATAAAATTATTTTCATCTATTACTTTATTCTTATATGCATCCATTGAAATATTTTAGAATTATATTGACTTAATGAAATTAGTTCTGATGGTGGAATAATGATGCTAATTTGCTTTCTTTTGTACTTACTGTATGTTTGAATCATACGTTTATATATTTATTTATTTATTTATTTTTGAGATGGAATCTGTCTCTGTCACCCAAGCTGGACTGCAGTGGCATGATCTCAGCTCACTGCAACCTCCACCTCCCAGGCACAAGGAATTCTCCTGCGTTAGCCTCCCGAGTAACTAGGATTACAGGCACTCGCCACCATGCCCAGCTAATTTTTGTGTTTTTAGTGGAGATGGGTTTCATCATGTTGACCAGACTGGTCTCGAACTCCTGACCTCAGGTGATCCACCCACCTCGCCTCCCAAAGTGCTAGGATTATAGATGTGAGTCACTGCACCCCGGTTGCTATATATTATTTTAAAAGAAGGAGAATCATTATTTACATACCAAAGCCATTTATTATTTTTTAAAAAAGGAATCACAAGTCAACCAACCTTTTTTCTATTATTCTTTCATGTAATAGGAGTTGAATCCTTTAGAATAACACCCGATGGTCTATAAATATCAATTTTGAAAGAAAAAATTCAAGAGGGAAAACATCACCTAGGTAAAATATTGGTTCATTTGAGGGAAGAGTAGTGTTTTTGAAACAACACAACAGAAATGCAACAATTTACAAGATTACTAAAATTTTTGCATAAATGAAAAGTATTTTTTAAACTAAAAGCTGTGATTTACAATAGACTTAGAGTCATGCTGATGATAATCAGAAAGTTAGAAACACCATTCTCTTAATCATAACGTATCAATGAACAAGTTCAAATATTGGGAACCTGAAAACACCTGTGAGTTCCAAAATCTGACCAAACAGAAACAACAACCCTAGGAAACACCATTCATCTACTATTGTGTGCACATGCTATAACTAACATAGCTGACAACCACCACAACAAAAATTAGAGGGAATGGAAAATAGTCCAGCAGGCTGAAATAGCTATAAATATAACAGCCATTACTAATGTGTGAATATGTGACTGTGTGAATGAGAGAATTGGGAACTTACAGATGAATAGTGAATTCTATGATTTATCACGACCTGTTGTTAGATTCCTAATTGAACCCAAAATCATTCCTGGAGTTGGAGTTTGCCTCGCTGTCCCTGCCAGTCCCTTCACCCAAGAAGTTGGGAAGTATCGGTTTAAGAAACTTGAATTGGCTCTCAGAGCTTTCTGCCAGGTAAACTTCATACTGATAATTCTGGGACAGGGTCCCGGTGCCGCTCACGTCCACCAGATGCCCTGGAAAGGCGCCCTCGGGCACCAAGTAGCGACCCACCGAGGCCGCCCTGCTCCTCCTGCACAGCCGCACCGCCACGAACAGGAGCACCGACAAGAGGAAGAGCGACGACACCGAGGCCAACGCCACCACCAGGTAGACGGTGAGCGAGTCGGCCTGGGCTTGGGCCGGGGCCGCCTCCGGGAGCGGCAGGTAGGGCTGGGAGAAGCCGTCCACCAGGAGCAAGTGCAACGTGGCAGTGGCCGAGCGCGGAGGCTCGCCATTGTCCTTGACCAGCACCACCAGCCTGTGCTTGGCCGCGTCGCGCTCGCTCAGCAGCCTGGAGGTGCGCACCTCGCCATTGTGCGCCCACACGCCAAAGAGCCCGGGCTCCGTGGCCTTGAGCAGCTGGTACGACAGCCAGGCGTTCTGGCCCGAGTCGCCGTCCACCGCCACCACCTTGGTGACCAGGTAGCCCAGCTCGGCCGCCCGGGGCACCAGCTCGGTGCAGGGCGCGGAGCCGTTCTGCAGAGGGTACAGCACGAAGGGCGAGTTGTCGTTGGTGTCCAGCACCAGCACGCGCACCAGCGCCTCGCTGCTCAGCTCCGGGAAGCCGCGGTCTGCGGCGCCCACGCGGAACTCGAACTCCTGCAGGGCCTCGTAGTCCAGCGATCGGAGGGCAAACAGGTGGCCGTTGTCTGCGTTGATGGAAACCAGGGAGGCGAGGGGCAGGTGCGAGTCCTGGGGTGGCAGCAGCGAGTAGGTGACCTGGGCGTTGGTGCCTGAGTCTCTGTCTGTGGCGCTGACACTGCCGATGTGCAGGGCGGGGCTGTTGTTCTCGCGGACGAACAGGTTATAGGAGGTTTGGGTGAAGGCGGGGGCGTTGTCGTTGACGTCGGAGACCCGCACGGTTATGTTGTACTCGGTTTTCAGCCTGGGTGTCCCCAAGTCTGTGACAGTAATGGTGATGTTGTACTCGGCCCAGCTCTCTCTATCTAGCGCTCCTTCGGTTAACACGGTGTAGAAATTTTCTAAGGTAGGCTTTATAAGGAAAGGGAGGTGGTCTTGGATGGAACACATCATTTTTCCATTGTTCCCAGAGTCCGGATCCGAAATTCCGAAAACAGCGACCACTGTTTCTGGGGAGTTTTCTGGGATATCACTGATGAGTAAGGACATGGTTATTTCCGGTGCGTTGTCGTTTATATCCATCACTTCTATGGCTACGGTGCATTTTCCTGAAAGACCCCCACCGTCTGAGGCCTCAACTTCCATATGGTAAGATTGAATTTCCTCAAAATCCAACGCCTTTTTTAATCTAATTTCTCCCGTGATTGAGTTTATTTCAAAGGCCTGAATGATTTGATTTGAGTATTGAAAAAATGAGTAGGAGAGCTCCCCATGGGTCCCAGCATCTAAATCCCTGGCAGAGACGGTGATGACGAGGGAACCTATAGGGGCGTTTTCTGGGACCTGCACCTCGTAGAGCCGCTGAGTAAATTCAGGGACGTTGTCATTGATATCTACAATCACTATGAGAACATGGGAAGTCCCAATTCTGGGCGGTGACCCACCATCCAGCGCTGTGAGGGTTAACCTGAGCTGGGGCTGCTCCTCGCGGTCCAGCGCTTGATCCAGCACGAGCTCTGGGTATTTCTTGCCGTCGCTGTGATTGCGAGTGAAAAGGTGGAAATAGGAGTTGGTGCTAATTGTGTAGTTCTGAACTGTGTTGCTACCTACGTCCAAATCTTGAGCTATTTTCAAAGGAAATGAAGTCCCTGGATGGCTGCCTTCAGAGATTTTCAGGAGGATTTCATTTTCCAAGAATTCTGGGGCATGGTCATTTACATCTTGGAGCTGTAGTTCACCTTGAATAAACTGCACCGGATTTTTCAATAACATCTGGAAATGCAGTATACATGGATCTATGTCACTGCACAACTCCTCCCGGTCCAATTTTTCTTTTAGGAGCAAATTCCCACTCTTCTGTTCGAGCTGCAAATACTGTTTATTCCCTTTGGAAAGAATCCGGGCGCCCCTTGCGGCCAGTTCCCCTACACCCAGTCCCAGATCTTTTGCTAAGTTGGCCACAAAAGAGCCGCTGTCCCTCTCTTCTAGAACTGAATACTTAATGGTAGCGCTGCCCGCCTCCCACAGTAGTAATAAAAAAATAATGGCGGTCACTTGCCTTTTCTCTGGTGCTTTGGGGAGCGGCGTCTCCATCATTCCTCAGGGTCCAAAAGATGCCGTATTAATCACACAATAATTGCTTTACAGCCAACTCAGCTATCTTGATTTAAATATCTTGAGTTAGTTCTTTTTAACATGGACCGACATGGGATGGCTGCCTCTCTGAAACCTTCTATCCCCAGTGGTGAAAAAGTGTTTCCTTTTCGAGCTGCCAGAAAACCCGCACAGCTTTTAAGGAGACACTGATGCTGCAGTTTTTCACTCTTAGCCTGCAGCGCCACCAAGCGTTCTGCTTTACAACTTCAGATAATTTTCATTTCAAAGCACACTGTATACTGTGATAGCAAAAACATAAAGCAGGCCTTTTAGGTCATAGCCTGTTATATACTCCCTTTTCCCCCGCCTATTATGTGGCCTTGTTCAGGTAGCTAAGAATGGTTGTTACAGCAAAAGTAATGTCTATATCTGTATTCATCTTCCTTATAAAGGTGCAAGTTCAGCACACAAAACTCTGCTCCAGGCAAATTCATTTATTAACAAGTATTTACCTGTACGGACATTCATGTAGCTTCTTGGGATAATACAGTAAATGAAACATAAAAATTCTTGCTCTTGGAGAATTTACATTCTATTAAAAATGCTAATTTGTTCTATTTTACTGGAAGAAATCATGAACTTTCAAAATCTAGTTTCACTCTCAAATTGCAATGTGCCTGTAACTCCTGAAAGAAAATAAAAATATTGTTTCTGGTTAGTCTCTGGTCTACATAACCATTGGGGATTTTTTTTTTTTTTTTTTTTTTTTGAGACACGGTCTCACATTGTTGCCCAGGCTGAAGTGCAGTGGCCTCAATCTTGGCCCATTGCAGCCTCTGTCTCCCAGGTTCAAGCAATTTTCCTGACTCATCCTCCTGAGAAGCTGGGACTACAGGTGCGTGATACAACACCAGGCCAATTTTTGTAGTTTTAGTAGACATGACATTTCACCATATTGGCCAGGCTGGTCTCGAACTCCTGGCCTCAAGTGATCCACCTGCCTTGGCCTCCCAAAGTGCTGGGATTACAGGCATGAGCTACCATACCTGGCCACCATTTAGGATTTTTTCCTTTATAAATTTATTATGTGCAATGCCCAGTGAAATTTAGAGAAAGAGGTGGTTTGTCTTATTAAAAATCAGTATAGGCCGGGTGTGGTGGTTCACACCTGTAACCCCAACACTTTGGGAGGCTGAGGTGGGTGGATCACTGGGGGCCAGGAGTTCGACACCAGTTTGGCCAATATGGTGAAACCTCGTTTCTACTAAAAATATAAGAATTAGTCAGGTGTGGTGGCACACACCTGTAGTCCCAGCTACTCGGGAGGCTGAGTCAGAAGAATCACTTGAACCCAGCAGGTGGAGGTTGCAGTGAGCTGAGATCATGCCACTGCACTTCAGCCTGGGTAACAGAGCAAGACTCTGTCTCAAAAAAAAAAAAAAAAAAAAAAAATCAATATAAGCTCAGAATCTACGCAATGTCTTTTCTACAAATGTAAAGAAGACAACAAAGTTGACAAAGTCAAAAATACACTTTCTGGGGAAGGGTATTGACCTGTCTGCATTGGACAGGATACCACCCCAGTGTACATTCTCTAGGATTAAGGGGATGGGGATATTGAAAAACACTACTGCTTCAACTAAAAGCCAAGTGACTGGAGTGAAAACAATGGAAGAAGGAATCTCACCAAGGAAGAATGCTGTTCTAAGGAGGAGAGGATATATATCTGAGAACACAAAACAGTAAATGTTCTCCACACTTATTTAATCAGTTGGTAATCATCCATGACAGTCAGTTCACTTATCTGGACACAAAACACAGTCAAATGTAACTTAGTTCAGCCCAGTTCCACTTCAATTAAGGATAAAAATAAAATAGTTGGCCAGGTGTGGTGGCTCATGCCTGTAATCCCAGCACTTTGGGAGGCTGAGGCGGGTGGATCATGAGGTCAGGAGTTCGACACCAGCCTGGTCAAGATGGTCAAACCCCATCTCTACTAAAAATATAAAAAATAGCTGGGTATGGTGGCATGCACCTGTAATCCTAGCTACTAAGGAGGCAGAGACAGGAGAATCACTTGAACCTGGGAGGCTGAGGTTGCAGTGAGCCAAGATCGTGCCACTGTGTTCCAACCTGGGCAACAAGAGCAAAACTCCGTCTCAAAATAAAATAAAATAAAATAGTCACTGAATGGTCATTTTAATATACATTGCTTACCTTTGATAGAAAGTTGAAAGAGGGATTTTTAAATGAAATATCACAAATACAACTGACACAAATAAGACTAAATATGGGATAAACTGTGAAGGTAAATGGTTTTATGGTTAATACAGGCAAATGATGCTTATACAACACTAGAAGGGAAAATCTGATGTTACCAAATAACCTGCCACTAATACCTTATTTAGATTTTAGTAGATACCAAATATCTTGAGAAAGTGAGAGGAGGAGTTTGGCAAATATAATTTGAAAGCCCTTCAACTTTCAAATTGTTAAACAAAGACAAAAAGGTAAACCGTGTGGTTAAGAATTGTATTTTCTGTAGTGGTATGTAGGGTGAGTAGAAGAGTCAAGAGTGTTTTCTGTTTTGAAGGAAAGCAATAGTGATTTGACTAAGAAGTGATATTTCATACTTTCACTCATTGGCAAGGATATTTTGTTGTACAGAGGATATTAGCATTTTGCTGTAGATACAATAGTGTTTTTAAAAATCAGTACTTTATTAAGCATTTATAATTGGTACGACCTTTTTTTTTTTTTTAAAGACCATCATGTTCTTACATGAGGCTCACAAACTAATGTGATGACACTTCAGTAAAGTCTATAGTCACAAAAATTTTGGATTGACTATTATGGGATACTAAAATATGCATAAGTATGAATGGCTACTTTAGTGTTTAGCCATCATTAGTTCTTATTTTTAGTGTTACACACTGTAGGAGTTACTGCAAAATGAGACACTGGAGGATTAAATAATATGAAATACTCACATTTTAAAAACAGTCCTACATAGCAATAGTGAAACAACTCTTACCAATAGCTAGAAATACAATCTTACTTAAGGATTTACAATACTTTTTTTGGGGTGGGGAAAGAATAGATAATTTAATTTCAAAAGTTTAAAATTATGCAAATAAAAATTTACTTTGTGTTCATATTGTCAAGTACCCTCAAGTGAAGTAATAAACTCCTAAGCATGAACAGGAAATACGAAGACACCCAGTATCTTACTTTATATAAAATTTCAACCTAAAGAATAGAGGTAAATTAAAAAGAAACAGAACATGTAACTTTAAGTTAAAAGAGATCTCCAAACATAAGTAAGATTTAGTAAAATAATCCCACACTTAACTGAATGGGAAGCTATTCGGAAAGGCGGGGGTTTCTTCCATTTCTCTCTCAGTGCCCTGAGGAGGGAAGTTGGGGATAATCGGCTTCAGGAACTTGAACTCATTTGTTCCTGAGCCTCCCATCAGACACACCTCGTACTGGTAGCTCTGGGACAGGGTCCCGGTGCCGCTCACGTCCACCAGATGCCCTGGAAAGGGGCCCTCGGGCACCGAGCAGCGACCCACCGAGGCCGCCCTGCTCCTCCTGCACAGCCGCACCGCCACGAACAGGAGCACCGACAAGAGGAAGAGCGAAGACACCGAGGCCAATGCCACCACCAGGTAGACGGTGAGCGAGTCGTCCTGGGCCTGGGCCGCAGCCGCCTCCGGGAGAGGCAGGTAGGGCTGGGAGAAACCGTCCACTAAGAGCAAGTGCAGCGTGGCGGTGGCCGAGCGCGGAGGCTCGCCGTTGTCCTTGACCAGCACCACCAGCCTGTGCTTGGCCGCGTCACGCTCGCTCAGTAGCCTGGCAGTGCGCACCTCGCCATTGTGCGCCCACACGCCGAACAGCCCGGGCTCCGTGGCCTTGAGCAGCTGGTACGACAGCCAGGCGTTCTGGCCCGAGTCGCCGTCTACCGCCACCACCTTGGTCACCAGGTAGCCCGGCTCGGCCGCCCGGGGCACCAGCTCGGTGCAGGGCGCGGAGCCGTTCTGCAGCGGGTACAGCACGAAGGGCGAGTTGTCGTTGGCGTCCAGCACCAGCACGCGCACCAGCGCCTCGCTGCTCAGCACCGGGGACCCGCGGTCTGTGGCGCCCACGCGGAACTCGAACTCCTGCAAGGCCTCGTAGTCCAGCGACCTGAGGGCGAACAGGTGGCCATTGTCTGCGTTGATGGAGACCAGGGAGGGGAGGGGCAGGTGCGGGTCCTGGGGCGGCAATAGCGAGTAGGTGACCCTGGCGTTGGTGCCTGAGTCTCTGTCTGTGGCGCTGACACTGCCAATGTGCAGGGCGGGGCTGTTGTTCTCGCGGACGAACAGGGTGTAGGAGGTTTGGGTGAAGGCGGGGGCGTTGTCATTGACGTCGGAGACCAGCACGGTTATGCTCTTCTGGGTTTTCAGCCTGGGTGTCCCCAAATCAGTGACGGTGATGGTGATGTTGTACTCGGCTCTGCTCTCTCTGTCCAGTGCCCCTTCTGTTACCAGGGTGTAGAAATTCTCCACGGAAGGTCTTAGTAGAAAAGGGAGATTGTTCTCTATTGAACAAATAACCTGTTGGTTATGCCCAGAGTCTGCATCTGAAACACTGAAAACTGCCACTATGATCTCTGGCAAGTTTTCTGGGATGGGGCTGATGAAGAACGACATGGTGAGTTCAGGGGCGTTGTCATTCACGTCCAGGACCTTGACGACTAAAGAGCATTTTCCTGATAGGCCCCCACCATCTGTAGCCTCAACATCCACGTCATAAGACTGAACTTCCTCAAAATCCAAAGCCTTTCTCAAACGAATTTCTCCTGTGATTGCGTTTATTTCGAACGGTTGGTTGATGTCATCGACTTGAAACAGGGCGTAAGATACCTTCCCAAACGATCCTGCATCTAAATCTCTGGCTGAGACGGTAATAACCAGAGAGCCGAGGGGATTGTTCTCAGGGATTTGTGCCTCATAGAGCTCCTGAGCAAACTCGGGGATGTTGTCATTGATGTCCAAAACCTGGATGTGAATCTCGGTGGTCCCTGACCGGGGCGGAGACCCACCATCCAGCGCGGTGAGCGTTAGCGTGAGTCGGGACTGCTCCTCGCGGTCCAACGGTTTGTCCAGCACCAGCTCCGGGAACTTTCTGCCTTCGCTGCGATTGCGGGTGAGAACGTGGAAGTGAGGGTTGGAGCTGATTGTGTAGCTCTGAAGGCCATTGCTGCCAGTGTCTAAATCGTGTGCCATTTTCAAAGGAAATATCTTTCCTGGCATAGTAATTTCTGATATTTTCAGGAGCATTTCTCTGGCAGGGAATTCCGGGGAGTGATCATTTATATCTCTGACTCGCAAGGAAGCCTGAAAAAACTGCAAGGGGTTTTCCAGTAACACTTGGAAAGGTAGCACACACGGCTCAGTGGAGCCACACAGTTCCTCCCGGTCCAGTTTTTCATTTAGCAGTAAATCATGGGTCTGTGGATCAAGCTGCAAATGTTGTCTGTTCCCTTTGAAAACAACCCGAGCGCCCCGTGCAGCCAGCTCCCCCACCCTCAGTCCCAGGTCCTTTGTCAAGTTGGCCACAAACGTGCCACTTTCTGTCTCCTCCAATACGGAATACTGAATCGATTCAGAACCTACCTCTCCCCAAAGCATCAATAAAATGAAGAACGCCACTTGCCTTTTCTTGTTCTGTACTTTAGTTTGCATCGTGTCTATTGTTGTCTGATTACAGAAGAAAAATCCTTTTCAGCTCCCAATCACCACATCCACTGTCGACCCTCTCAGATGTCTTTGCAGAGATTTTTAAATTCGTTCTTACAACTTGTCTGGCGACGACTGCCTTCCAGGACACATCTATCTCAGCTTTAGCTGTAAATGTGGTCTGTATTTTTACTTGGCTTCTGGGTGAAACAGAGTCCACCGAGTCTGCAGAGCTTTCATTCACTCTCTTAGCTTGTACCGCCACCTCGCGTTCAAACTAATAACTTCATGAGATGTTTCAGGTCAATAGCATTTCCGAAATCTGAGCATTATAAAGACTTTTAAGTTGAGTCAGTGTTTCTCAGAGTGAGTGCGTGGACCACATGCATAAATAATTGCTTGCGAGCTTTGGTTTCTTTGTGTGTACGTTTTTGCTTTTAAGCCAATTCCTGGGTTCACTCCCCTCTAGAACTTGAATCAAATTTCCTGATGGTGCTAATTAAGGAGAAAGATTGAAGTGCAGATTCTACACTTCAATCTTTCTCCTTTGATTCTTCAGCAGTGCAATTTATCTCTGATGAGCCATTTAATCCATGAGTCCAAGAGGTACACTATTTAATTGTCCCAACAAACAATGCAAAACAATGAAGTTTGTTAGCAACAATAATGGTAAAATAAACAATAAATTATCTAAATTATACACTCATAAATGGCATGAACAAAAAACTTACTTTGTTATATAGTTACGCCTGCACAGTAAAAAGAACAATTAGGCTATTAGGAGGGAAACTGAGGCAAAAAAAGTATTTATGATACACGTATATAAGTAAATTAAAGTATTTAAAAGAGGGACTAGAAGCAATCAAGTATCTGTCATAAGCATTTTAGGATTCTACCCCATTTTTGCATGGATAGAATTAGACATTCTTTTAAGAGGCTTGTGCATTTTATTTTAACTTTTTTGGTCAAATTCCCCTCTTACGTTATTTAATCAAGTTCCAAATATATTACCCTGTTGTACAAACATGACGCAGTGCAGAAAACAAACATTCAAGAATTACCTTCACCATCTTCTCACAGCAAAAAGAACACCAAGTCCTATAAATACAGGCCACATTAAGGTACTGTAAAAAAGGTGCATTACATTTGAGTGAATGCCATGGAATTCGATGATGGAATACTATGGCTATATGCATTCCCATCTCACTAGTTTCTGCTCAGATACATTGGAATATGTATCTCTAAACAAACTGAAAATGTGTGAAACAGATTAGTGCACATAGAAGAGGCAAAATATGCCAAACAATTCAATTCATTTCAGATTGATTTCATATTTATTGAGAGGTGAAATCCATTGAGCTCAAACAAAGTTCACGTCAGGTAAGAGCCAAGGTGATAGAAGATTAAAAATCAGGATATTTTCAAATACATAAACTCTAGGTAAAATAAATAAGGCTAAATAAAATCTAAACTCTAAATAGCTAAGATGATCTTATAGTTCATAATCACCTCTATGTAGCCAGAAAAACAAAAGATTATGAATGTGACCAGCCTCCAGGGTTCACTTGATAGATGCTACTGAGAATACACTGTTCCTTGAGGATGTGAGTAACAAAATGAACTTATGAAGTAAAACCAACAATAATAAACATCTTGGAAGGGTGTCACTTCTTTGCTGAAACAAGGCCATTATTTCCTGCTCAATCTTAAATGCTTTCTTCTTTCAGTGAGCATTCTGAGTTCTGATTCCAGCTAAACGGCATCCACGAAGTCTTTTATTCACTCTCTTTCTCTGAAGCACCGCCAGGCATCCTTGAATATAGGTCGTTGAATTATTTTTTACTTCAAAGCAAATTTATCAGCAGTACAGTATTTGTCAAACTCCATTTAGATCCTTGAAAAGTCTTTGATAACATTGGTAGTTATATGGAAAGAGGATAATATCTCAAAATACCCAAAAAGATATCAGTCGGGTCTATCAAGATACTGCCTTTTTATAGAAAATTGATTACATTAAATTGTTTCAGGAGAATGTTTCTCTGTTCTGCCCTCTTTTGCTTTGATTTGATTGGCTAGAGTAGACTGAATTAACTTTGCCTTCATAAACATGTTCTCATAAGGACTCATTAACTTACAATTTTTATTATGGAAAAATTCCAACATATACAAAGTAAACAGTATAAGCCTCCGTACACCATCAGTTTTACAACATTCTGTCGTCTCGTTTTGTCTATACCTTTCTCTCCATTCTCTGCTTCCTGTTCAATGATTACTTTTGTATAGTTCTTAAGGCAATGTTTACAGAAATTGAAATGTACCAATCTTAACTGTGCCATTTTAAAAAATGGATTCATGTGTGTAACTCACACTTTTTTCAAGATACGGAACATTTTCATCATTCACTGGGAATCATCTTAATCATATTTTGAAGCTCAGTTTTATTAACTGGGGAGCAAAACCTTGGTCTCATCTGGACACATGATGCAAAAGTAGACAATGTGAAAAAGCACCATGCCCCATATTCTTTATGCTCGTGTATGCTAAAGTGAAGTGATAGATTAATTTAGCTGGACTGTTACCAGCAAGCTGAAATAGTGTTTTAACTGATTGAACATTGTAAAGTATGTTAAAATTAATTTTATTTAGTTAGTCTGTAATGACAGGTTGAGCAGCCCTTGTCCGAAATGCTTGAGACCAGAAGTGTTTCAGTTTCAGATTTTTAGATATTAGAATATTCGCGTGTACATACTGGGATATCTTGGGAATAAGAACCAAGTCTAAACATGAAATTCATTTGAGTTTCATATACATCTTATACAAATAGCCTGAAGGTAATTTTGTATAATATTTTTAAACAATTTTGTGCATGAAACAAAGTTTGCATTATGTACTTATGTGTGGAATTTTCTACTTGTGGCATCAGATTGGCTCAAAAAGTTTCCGGTTTTGGAGCAGTTCCTATTTTTGGATTTTTGGATTAGGGATGCCCAACCTGTACCTGTACTGCATAGCTGATCAAGCTGATTTCCATTTTATGTTTCAGTTAATCCCATTATAATTTTTAAAAATTATTCAAGTTTATCAAAAGAGAAAGAAAAAGACCTTCAAGGACAAATTGAATCTCTTAAAACTCTTCTTTAGTTATATGGAAAGAAAACACAGTAATACAGGGAAAAGTTAGAGATGATCTATAAATAATCACTTAAAGAAACTCAATTTACAAGAGATATGCTGCAAGGAAGTTGAAAATATAAAGGATTTGATACTAAATCACACTTGAAATCTGAAATGATTGGGTAAGACACTTTGTCAGTATTGCTAGGGGTTTGTCTTTTTTAAAAAAATGTTTTTTGAAGAACTAGTTCTTTGTTTCTTTATTGCTTTCTCTATTTGCTTTGAATTTTCTTGATTTCTTCTATTATCTTTGTTATTTCCTTCTTTCTGAATGCTTCGGGTTTATTTTCCTCATATTTTTCTAGATTCTTGAGGTAGAAGCTTGAAACTGATAAACTGGTGGGTGACCGATTTGAGAATTTTCCTCTTTTCTAATGTACATATTTAGTGCTATAAAATTTTCCTCTCTGCAGTGTGTTAGCTATGTCTCACAAAATTTGATGTGTTGTATTTTCATTTTCAATTCAGGTCAATGTATTTTTAAATTTCCCTTGAGATCTTCTTTTTGATTCATAGATTATTTAGAAGTATGTTGCTACATATCCAAGTATTTGAAGGTTTTCCTCTTATCTTTCCATTATTCATTTTTAGTTTAATTTCATTGTGCTTAGAGAACCCACTCTGTATGATTTCACTATTAATTTGGTTGAGGTTGGTTTTACGGCTGAGGTTGTGGTTATCTTACATAGGTTCTGTGAGCATTTGAAAATAATGTGTATTCTGGTATTGTTTATTCTGGTGTATTTTGGTATTTTTTATTCTGGTATATTCTGGTCTTGGAGTGTTCTGGTGTATTCTGGTATTGGAGTGTTCTGGTGTATTCTGGTATTGGAGTGTTTTATAAATATTAATCAGATGCTGTTAGTTGATGGTATTATTGAGTTCTTCTGTATCGCTGCTGATTTTCTGCCTTGTTGGTCTATCAATTGTTGAAGGTCATTGAAGTCTCCAATTGTAATTGTGGATTTCTCTATTTCTCCTTCTGTCAGTTTTTGCTTCATACATTTTGCAGTTTTGTATATATACATTTGGGATTGCTGTGTGTTCTTCTTTTATCATTATACAATATCCTGCTGTGTCTCTGATATGTCCTATGCAGTCTCTGATGATTTTCTTTGCTCTCATGTCTACTTTATATGATGATTTTCTTTGCTCTCATGTCTACTTTATATGACCTTATGGCTACCCCTGCTTTATTAATTAATTTATTTAGTTAGTTATTCTTATTTTTATTTATTTCTTTATTTTTGAGACAGAGTTTTGCTCTTGTCTCCCAGGCTGGCGTGCAATGGTGTAATCTCAGCTCACAGCAACCTTCACCTCCCAGGTTTGAGCAATTCTCCTGCCTCAGCCTCTGGAGTAGCTGGGATTACAGGTGCCCACCACCACAGCAGCTGATTTTGTATTTTTAGTAGAGACAGGGTTTCACCATGTTGACCAGGCTGGTCTCAAATTCCTGACCTTAGGTGATCCTCCTGCCTCAGCCTCCCAAAGTGCTGTGATTACAGGTGTGAGCCACTGCACCCAGCTCCTGCTTTATTTTTTCATTAATAATTGTATACATTTTTGTCTTTTTACTTTCAAACTGCATATATCATTATATTTGAAATTAAGTTTGATACATATAGTTGGGTCATAATTTTTCAAACCCATTCTCCCAACGTTTTTGTTTTAACTGATGTGCTCAAACCATTTACATTTAACATAATTATAGATTAGTAGAGATTAACTCTGCCATTTTTTGTTTCCTGTTTGTTTTCTCTGTTTTTTTGTTTGTTTCTCCGTTTTCATTTTTCTACCTTCCTGTGGGTTATTGGAACATTTTTTAGAATTCTGTTTTGATTTAGTTGTAGTGTGTGTGTTTTTTTTTTAGTGTATCACTTTTTATAGCTTTTTACTGATTACTCTAGGTATTATACTATATATACACAACTTATCAGTTTACTGATTGATATCAGTAACCGATATTTTTACCAGGTCAAATGAAGCATAGAAAATGTACCTCCTTTAGTGTCTTTTTGCCCTCCTTCATTTATAAATGTTTTAAGTATTTCCTGTACATACACTTAGGACCACATTTAGAAAGTATTATAATGTTGGATTCAACCACCAAACATAATTTTGGAACCTCAAGAGAAAAAGAAAAGTCTGTTGTATTTACTCATATTTTTGTTTCCTGTGTTGTTTCTTCCTTCTTGATGTTCCAAGATTGCTTTTTAAATTGTTTCCTTTCTGTTTGGAGAACTTGCATTAGCAAATATTTTAAGGTAGGTATACTGGCAACAAATTCTTTTCCTGAAGGGTAGTTTCACTGGATATAGGATTTTGGGATGACAGTTGTTTTCTTTCAGCACTTAAAAAATATTGTGCAACTTCCTTCTAGCCTCTGTGGTTTCTGATGAGGAATCTACTCTCATTCAAATCGTTACTGCCCTGTGGGTAAGGTGTCATTTCTCCTTCACTGCTTTAAAGATATTTTGTCCTTAGTTTGCAGAAATTTCACTATGATGCCTCTTGGTGTGGATTCCTTTGGGTGTATCCTGTTTGGGATTTGTTCGACTTATTGAATCTCTGGTTTATGCCTTTTGCCAATGTGCTTAGTTTCCAGCCATTATTCCTTTGAGTACTTTTTTTAGCTCCACCCTCCTTCTGGCCTTCTTTTGGGACTCCAGTGACACAAAGGTTAGATCTTTTGGTATGGCCCCACAGGTTCCTGAGCCTCTGTTCATTTTTTATGGTCTATTTTCTCTTTCCTCTTCAGAATGGGTAATTTCTATTGTTCCATTTTCTGGTTCATTGATTTTTTGTTCCTTCCATTCTGCTGTGGAGCCCATTATCTTGAGTTTTTATTTCAGTTATTATATCTGGGTTTGTTTTTTTGTTTTGTTTTGTTTTTATGTTTTTTTTTTTTTTTAAGACAGAGTCTTGCTCTGTCACCCAGGCTAGAGTGCAGCGGGGCAATCTTGGCTCACTGCAACCTCCCCGCCTCCTGGGTTCAAGTGATTCTCCTGCCTCAGCCTCCCAAGTAGTTGGGGTAACAGGCATGCACCACCACGCCTGGCTAATTTTGTGTTTTTAGTAGAGATGCGGTTTCACCATGTTGGCCAGGCTGGTCTCGAATTCCTGACCTCAGGTGATCCACCCATCTCGGCCTCTCAAAGTGCTGGGATTACAGGTGTGAACCACTACACCCGGCCCCATTATTATATCTTTAATTTCTAAAATTTCCACAGGGATTTCTTTATATCTTTGATTTCTTTGCTGAGACTGTTTTTCATTTGTTTCAAATATGTTCATAATTGCTCATTAAAACATTCTGATGAAGTCTGTATATAAATATTTGTCAGATAATTCTAACAACTGTCATCTTGGTGTCAGCATCTCTTTGTTGTCTTTTTCATTCACTTTAATATTTTCCTGATTCTTGGTATGACCCAGATAATCCCTTCCTGGATGTGCCTGTACCCAAAAGGAACCTTTGCCGAAAAGAATGAGGCAATATATTCAAGAATGCTTATAGCAGCATTGTTTATAGTAACAAAACTCTTAGAACAACTAAAAAGTAAATCATTAGTAAAAAGAATTTAAAGTTCATAGTACTCCATTTATATAATGGAATACTTTAAGTGAATGAACTGAATTAACATGGATAAATTCAATAGCATAATGATTAAAAAGAGCAAGCTCACAGAGGATCCATACTATATAAATTCATTTATATAAATTGCAAAGACAGATGAAACTAAATGGTAAATCATTTAGGAATACAAGCTTTTCTATTGCAACTATAAGGAAGAACAAACAGTTAAGTAAAAATTCAGAAAACTGGTTCTTTTTCATAGGGTTGAAAGATGTTATGATGGAGGCATAACATCTTGGCATCATTCTAATTTTTAAGCTGGGTAATGGGTAGATGAGTGACCATGTTATTATTGTTTATTATTATTATTGTACATACATGTTGTACGCACTCTTTTGAATTTTGATAGATTTTAAAATAGAAAAAAGTAAAAACAAACAAACAGCCATTTCTGAGCTGGGCATGGTAGTATCTGCCTGCTACTCAAGAGCCAAGGCAAGAGGATCACTTGAGCTGAGAAGTTCAAAACCAGCCTGGGTAACATAGCAAGACCTTGTCACTTAAAAAAAAAATTATTTAATAAACATGAAGCAATTTCTCTGGGGTCAGGTTGCCTGGATTCAAATTCTACATCCACCTCTTATTAGCTAGGTGATTGTTGAAATCCTAACCCCCAACATGATGGTAGGAAGTAGGGCTTTGAGTGGTAATTAGGTTATGAAGAAGCAGCCCTGAATGAGATTAGTGCACTTATAAAAGTGATTCTAGAGAGCTGTCTTGCATTTTTTCTGCCATGTGAGGATACAAGGAGAAGTCAGCGCTCTGAAACCTGGAAGAGGACCCTCACCAGAACTCAACCATGCTGGCACCCTGATTTTAGACTTCCAACCTCTAATACTGTAAAAAATTACTTTCTGTTATTTATAAGCCACTCAATCTATAGTATTTGTTACAGCAGCCCAAACTCATTAGGACAGTGACCTTGGGGAAATTGCTTTACCTCTGTGTGTTACAGTTTGTTCACCTTGAACATGTTGACACTAATTGTACCATTATTTTGAGGATTAAATGAGATATGTATAAAGCATTCAGAAAATAGCCAAGTACGCCGAAAGTATGTAGTAGTAATAATAGTACATAATATATAATAATGTTTAATAACAAAGTTTGTAGAAACTTGAATATGCCACTAAGACTAAAATTTCATTAGAAATACTCAAAAATAAAGTGAGAGACTTCAGAACATAGAAGAAAAGCTAAAGATGTAAAATAAAAGAGAATATAAGAAACAGAGAAATAATTGAGAATATTCAATATCTGACAAGCATAAGTTTCAGAAGGAAATAACAAGATTAAACTTAGGGATACAACTATTAAGAAAATGATAGTAGAAATGGGCCAGGTACAGTGGCTCACACCTGTAATCCCAGCACTTTGGGAGGCTGATGCAGGTAGAACACTTAAGGCCACGAGTTCGAGATCAGCCTAGCCAATATGGTGAAACCCCAACTCTATTTGAAAAAAAAAAAAAAAAATCAAAAAAAAAAAATTAGCTGGATGTGGTGGTGTGCACCTATAGTCCTACCTACTCAGGAGGCTGAGTCGGGAAAATCGTTTGAACCCAGGATGCAGAGGTTGCAGTGAGCAAGATTGCAGATTGCACCACTGCACTCCAGCCTGGGCGACAAAGTGAGATCTGTCTCAAAATAATAATAATAATAATAATAATAATAATAATAATAATAATAGAAATGAAGTAATCCCAGAGATAAAAAGGTATAAATTGTTAGAATACACAAGTACATTGAGTGTTCAGCAAAATGAATGAAAAAATTATAATACTATTATGAAATTCAAGACATCTAAAAAGAAGAGAGAAAATTCTGAGGGAAGGAGACACAAAAAATTCTTTTCTCTACAGAAATATGGAAAGAGAGAGAGAGAGAGAGAGATGGGGGTATAAAAAATCAGGAATCACACTGGCATAAAATTTTTAATAAAAAATTATAAATCAATAATCAATATATTAATGATTTTAAATTTCCAAGCAATAATTCTGTATCTGACAAAATAATCAATTAAATATGAAGGAAAACTAAATGCATTTTCAGACTGGCAGCGATGCAGAAAGTTGTTTTTTTGTGAACCCTCCCTTAGGAAGACATTTCAGGATATATTGTAGCAAAGAGAGGGAATAAAAAGGGAAACAAGTGATCTGACTCAACCAGGAGAGGTATGAAGACAAGATGACAGTTTTGTACAGACTTAGAGATCATTTAGTCCAGATGGAAGCAGAAAGCTAGAGGGCTTCAGGTTAGGAAATATGGTAAAGTGAATTATTGATTGAGATTTTGAAAATATGGTAAAGCCAACTAATGGAGTCTAAAATGATGAATCTATTTGGTCTTGATTTTAGGAACATACTGTTTTCAGTGGTACAGGAAGCACAACATTGGATCCAAAGAGCAGGAAAGATAGTCCCTATCACTAAAAAATAAAGTGAGAGACATCAGGACATAGAAGAAAAGCTAAAAATGTAAAATAAAGGAAATATAAGGAACAGAAAAATAACTAAGAATATTCAATATCTTTTCTGTTTTTTTGTTTTTTAAAATTTTCATTAAGAATATTTAATAATGGACAAGCACAAATCTCAGATGGGAATAACAAGATTAAACTTAGGGATACACTCTTAAGAAAATAATAGTAGAAATGAAGTAATCTCAGATCTAAGATTACTTATATCCCTAAGTAATCCCAGACTACTTAGAGGTTTCAGTAAGTAATATGGCTCAGCAATGAACAATATTTTGAGAAGATAATCAGCCCAACAACCTGGAACTGTTCTGACACTCATAGGTCGGCCATAATCTTCTCCTATTGAATGCAAACAATTTCATACAACACCAAGACCAGAAAATAACCTTGTAACCCTGATGGAGCAAGACTTCATGCTTGAGGAGACAATGTCTAAAACAAAAAAGAAAAAACAAAAAAGCTCTTTTTCCTTGCTAGTATGAGCGAATGCTGCTTATTTACCAATAACAGATTTAATTTCAGTGTTTTTCCCACTTCCTAAGTGAAATTCATTAAAATAATACAGAATTACCCCAATTTTCTGAAAGCATCCAATCCAGAGCTAACCTGTACTTGTTGAATCTCTGTTAAAAACACCTAACAGAAGACCAAATCCTATAACTCCTTTGTAAGACTCTGTTACTAAAGTGGCCCCTGTTTCCTACTGTGAGCAGTCTCCTTCATTGCAACAAGTCAATAAACCCAACTTTGTTCTGATGCGGTGTGTTCTTGGTAATTTGGAACTGCAGGGCATTCATAATTTATATAGTCATGAAAAGTAAATTTTAAATATTATCTTCATGTTCTAAAATATATCTATAGACAAGACAAGTAATTCTTAGCTATGGTTGTAAAAATGTAAAATGTAAAAGTAGAAGTTAACTGAGAGAGGTTGGAAAGTGTAAGAGAGAAACAGATATAAAAGGAAGAATAAGAATGATACTTTTTTTCCATATAAAAATCTAATGAAACTGTTATTACTGGAACAATAAAGAGAGGTTTCAGTTTGACCAGAGAAGTACCCAAAAATGGTAATATAGCTTTATCTGAAAAACAAAAGATTGAAGTTGTTTTAAGTGTGCTAGTTACTCAGCAATCTTAATAGGAAATTGTCTAAAGTTTGTGAAAGTTACTACATTAGTTTGCGAGGGGTGCTGTAACAAATACCACAGACTGGGTGGCTTAAACAACAGACATTTCTTTCCTCACAGTTCTGGAATCTAGAAGTCCAAGATCAAAGTGTTGGCAGGGTTGGTTTCATTTGGAGGCCTCTCTCTTTGGCTTGTAGATGGCTATCTTCTTCTAGTGTCTTCACATAAGCATCCCTCTGTGTGTTCACATGTCTGGCATCTCTTTATGTTCTAATCTCCTCGTCTTATAAGTACAGCAGTTATATCGGATTAAGATCTGCCCTGATGACCCATTTTAATGTGATTACCTCTTTTTTTAAAGGCCTATCTTTAAATATAGTCACATTCTGAGGTAGTGGGAGTTAGGGTTTCAACGTATGAATTTGAGGGGGATTTGGGAACACAGTTCAGCTCATAACAGTTACAAACATATTCCTTAGTGATAAGAAAGTAAATATAAGAAGAGCTTTTAAAAATGTATAAAGTGCTTGCCAATGGGATAAAATGAAAAAATAGACAATACTAGTTTGTTGGCAGAAATGTGGAAAAATTTGTACATCCAGATACTGGGGATAGCAGTGTAAATTAGTGCAACCACTGGAAGACTATTGGGAAATGTCTACTAAAAGTAAACATGTACTTACAAGATGGGCAACAATTCCACTTCTAGGCATATACCCAACAAAACTGCGTATACAGGTTGCCAAAAGGCATGTTAAAATAATGGTTATAGCAGTATAATTCGTAACAGCCAAACTTTGCCCTATCCCAAATACTGATCTAAGGATAGAAAATAAATTGTAGTATATTCATACAGTGGAATATTATACAGCAATGAGAATGAAAGGACTAAACTTAAAAGCTGTATTATGGATAAATTTCATAAACATAATGCTGAGTGAAAAAAGCCAGACACAAGCAGTTCATACTCTATTACTCTGTTTATGTAAATTATAGTATAGGAAGTCAGCATATTTGCCATACTTGGGCTAGCAGTGATTGTAAGGAGTAATTTGTGTGGCACCTGGGGTGCCAGTGATGTTTCATTTTCTCTTCAAGTTGCTGGTACTAAATATGTTACTTTGTGAATATATATTGAGTTGAACATAAAGGATTTGTTCACTTTTCTTCATGTAAGTAATAATTCAACTAAACTGTTTTTAAAAAGTTTGCTAATAGGAATCAGGGCTGCAAAAAAGAGTAAATAGAAGATTGCTGCCTTTTACACATTTTTTCACATATTTGTTAGCATATGTATGTATTTGTCTTTGTTTTAAATAATTAAAATAAAATGATTTGAAACATTTTTAATTTTTGCATTTTAGCATCAAATATATAATACTTAAGAGTGTCATGAAATAGAATGGATAGAATATATAGAAAATAAAATTAATATTTGATTTTATTAAGATGGTTTATCACAACAAGTACCAACAAGAAGAGAAAAATATCTCAGGAAAATCAACAACATGCATGGATTTGGAATGACCCTATGTAAACAAATGCAATGAAATAAAATTGAGTTTTCAATACTTGGACAGAATAAAGTTCAGCAGACAAATCCATTAAAAAGGGAAATAAAAGCTAAATCTCAAGGTGAAATTTTTGTCCATGACACTCTCGAATTCTAGATCTGAAAAAGTTTGGGATAAATGGCAGAAAACAATGTGTTATAACGAGATCTCTAATTTAATCCAAAGTTATTCCGGAAGGCGGCAGTTTTCCCTATTTCTTCACCAGCGCTCTGGGGCAAAAGGTTAGGAATAATAGGCTTCAGGAATTTGAACTCGCCGGTCCCTGAGTCTCCAGTCAGACACACCTCGTACTGGTAGCTCTGGGACAGGGTCCCGGTGCCGCTTACGTCCACCAGATGCCCTGGAAAGGGGCCCTCGGGCACCGAGCAGCGACCCACTAAGGCCTCCCTGCTCCTCCTGCACAGCCGCACCGCCACGAACAGGAGCACCGACAAGAGGAAGAGCGACGACACCGAGGCCAATGCCACCACCAGGTAGACGGTGAGCGAGTCGGCCTCGGCCTTGGCCGGGGCCGCCTCCGGGAGCGGCAGGTAGGGCTGGGAGAAGCCGTCCACCAGGAGCACGTGCAGCGTGGCGGTGGCAGAGCGCGGAGGCTCGCCATTGTCTTTGACCAGCACCACCAGCCTGTGCTTGGCCGCGTCGCGCTCGCTCAGCAGCCTGGAGGTGCGCACCTCGCCATTGTGTGCCCACACGCCGAACAGCCCGGGCTCAGTGGCCTTGAGCAGCTGGTAGGACAGCCAGGCGTTCTGGCCCGAGTCGCCGTCCACCGCCACCACCTTGGTCACCAGGTAGCCCGGCTCGGCCGCCCGGGGCACCAGCTCGGTGCAGGGCGCGGAGCCATTCTGCAGCGGGTACAGCACGAAGGGCGAGTTGTCGTTGGCGTCCAACACCAGCACGCGCACTAGCGCCTCGCTGCTCAGCTCCGGGGAGCCGCGGTCTGCGGCGCCCACGCGGAACTCGAACTCCTGCAAGGCCTCGTAGTCCAGCGACCGGAGGGCGAACAGGTGGCCGTTGTCTGCGTTGATGGAGACCAGGGAGACGAGGGGCATGTGAGGGTCCTGGGGCGGCAGTAGCGAGTAGGTGACCAGGGCGTTGGTGCCTGAGTCTCTGTCTGTGGCGCTGACACTGCCGATGTGCAGGGCGGGGCTGTTGTTCTCGCGGACGAAGAGGGTGTAGGAGGTTTGGGTGAAGGCGGGGGCGTTGTCATTGACGTCGGAAACCAGCACGGTTATGTTGTACTCGGTTTTCAGCCTGGGTGTCCCCAAGTCGGTGACGGTGATAGTGATGTTGTACTCGGCTTGGCTCTCTCTGTCCAGTGTTCTCTGTGTCACTAGGGTGTAAAAGTTTTTTAATGTGGGCTTCAAAAGAAAGGGGAGATCATTCTGAATGGAACAAATCATCCTACCGTTGTCCCCGGAGTCTGGATCAGAAACACTGAAAACAGCAACTATAGTTTCTGGGGCATTTTCTGGGGTAGGGCTGGAGAGCGTCGACATGGTGAGTTCAGGGGCGTTGTCATTCACATCCACCACTTCTATAGCCACAGTGCATTTTCCTGAAAGGCCCCCACCATCTGTGGCTACAATTTCCACGTTATAATATGGAGTTGCCTCGAAATCCAATGCCCTTTTCAGGCGAATTTCTCCTGTTTTTTCGTCTATTACAAAGGGTTGAGTAACTTCATCGCCTTGGAATAGAGCATAGGCTACACTTCCGTACGCTCCTGCATCTAAATCTCGGGCGGAGACAGCGACAACTAAGGAGTTAAGGGGGCTGTTCTCGGGCACCTGTACCTCATAGAGTGATCGCAAAAATTCAGGGGCGTTGTCATTATTGTCCAAGACGACAATGCGAACTGTGGTGGTCCCAGACCTGGGCGGAGCACCACCATCCAGTGCAGTGAGCGTTAAGCTGAGCTCAGGCCGCTCCTCCCGGTCCAGAGCTTTGTCCAGCACCAGCTCTGGGTATTTTCTGCCATCTCCGCGATTATGAGTAGCAACATGAAAGTGGGAATTTGTGCTGATTGTGTAGTTCTGAACAGTGTTGCTACCTATGTCAAAGTCCTGGGCTATTTTTAAAGGAAACACCGTCCCTGGCTGGGTGCTTTCTGGGATTTTTAGCAGCATTTCCCTCTCTGGGAACTCTGGGGAATGGTCATTTATATCTGTGAGCTGCAGATCAGTTTGAAAAAACTGCACTGGGTTTTCTAGTAAGAGTTGGAAATGCAATATACAGGGTTCTGTTGTCCCGCACATCACCTCCCGGTCTAGTTTTTCATATAGAAGCAAATTGCCGGTCTTTATATCAAGCTGCAAGAGCTCTTTGTCTCCTTTGTAATGGATTCGCGCGCTCCGAGTGGCCAGTTCCCCCACCCTAAGACCAAGGTCTTTTGCCAGGTTGGCCACAGAATAGCCACTTTCTGTTTCTTCTGGTATGGAATACCTAACTGCCTCAGAGCCAGCCTCCCACAAAAGCAACAGTATAGCAAGAAACATAACTTGCCTTTTCTGTGGCGTTTTTGCTAGCGCAGTCTCCATTGTTCAGACCCGGTCCAGAAGGCGCAGTTTCTTTAACTCTGTATACAATCCACCCAGATGATTTGCTTAAATAACCGCGATTCCGATCTTTCTTAACCGATTTCCACAAGAACGACGCCCACTCTGAAGATCTAGCCACTAGATCTTACCTAAAATGCGTCCTTCTTTTAGGAAGCATTCAGGCTTTGGATTTCTCAGCTTAATGGCGCCTGAGTTATCCGTAGAGCCCACTATCCACACTCTTAGCCTGCAGCGCCACCAGGCGTCCTAATTTACTATTGCATATAGTATTTGCCATTTCATCCTAAATTCTAACCCTGACGTGTATCCATACCCTTTTGTCACATAAGCTTTCCCGATGGTATCTCCAGCTCTTAGTTACTGAAAGTTCTAAATAAACGTTGTGGAGTTAATTTTCAGTGAGAGAATACTTTTGAGAAAAAACTAAAATTATATATTAATCTCCATAAAAGTACCCTTGAGTACACAAATATACTTTATTTGGTGTTTCTTATTTGATTATATTAAATAAGTGATCATGAATAGCTATAGAGATTTAAAGTTTAAGAAAAATTACTTTTACTTTGAAGTAAACACCAGTAACACCCAGAAAATGGCACAAATGATAGGTGTACAACTCAATGAATTTTGCAAAGTGAACACACTCCTATAAGTAGAACCTAAATTTAAAATACTACCCAAACCCAAGTCCTCACCTGCTATTGTCTGGTTACTGCCCTCTCCCCGAAAGATAAGCACTGTCCTGACTTCTGTTGTCATAGGTTTTTTTATTTTTTTTTAACTTTATACAAATGGAGTTATAGATTGTTACTCTCATGTGTCTGGCTTCTTCTCCTCAATATTATGTTTGTCAAATTGATCTGTGGCATCTTGTTCTTATTTGTTTTATTCTCATTGCTTTTTATTATTCTGTTGTATGAATATACTATGATTTGTTTATTCATTCTCCAGTTGATGAACGTTGTTTTTTTTCCAAGTTTAAACTATTTTGGGTAGTACTGGTATAAACATCCTTGTACTAGTCTTTTGGTGACTACATGTATGTGTTTATGTTGAATATTTTCAAAGGAGTTGGATTGCTGTGCATTAAGGTGTGCACATATATGTTGCTTTAGCAGATAATCGGAAAGTTTTCTCAAGTAGTTGTACTAATACCAGCAAAGTATGAGAGTTCCAGTTGCTCCACATTCTTGTCAACATTTGATGCTATCTTTTCCATTTTAAACCACTCTAGTTAGTGTTTGGTGATATCATATTGTAATTTTAGTTAGCATTTTCCCCAGTGATTAAACAATTTGAGCACATTTTCCTGTTTATCGGCCATTAGGATACAATCCTGTGAAGGGCTTACACAAACCTTTTTACTTTTTTGGGGGGAGGCATTTGCCTGTTTGCTTATTGATCTGCAGAAGTTTCTCATATATTCTGGGTATAAGTCCTTTTTCAGATATATGTATTGCAAATATCTTTTCCCACTCTATGGTTTATATTTCAGGTCTATTATGTGTCTTTGATGAATACAATTTCTTCACTTTAGTCAGATTTGTCAATAATTTTTCATTTACGATTAGCATTTTTTGTGTTCTATTTAAATGTTCACATACTCCAAGGTCATGAAAATATTCTTATATGATGTATTTTGGAAGATTAATTATTCCACTTTTCACATTTAGAGCTATAATCAACCTGAAATTAACTTTTCAAGTGAATGAGGTTGGAGTCAAAAGTTTTAAAATATAAGTGTCTGAATGACTTAAACCTTTGCACCATCTATTTAAAAAACAATCCATTTTCCATTGTTTTTGAAATGTCGTGTTTGTTATAAATTAGGTAACCATAGCTCTGAAGATGTTTTATTCAATCTTGTTTATCCTATAATAACTCATTGTGTTAATTATTATAGCTTTACCATGAGTTTTGTTATCTATGAAGTAAGTTCTCCAGTTTTTTAAAAGTAGACTTTAATTTTTAGAATGGTTTTAGGTTCACAGCAAAAATGAGAGTAAAGTATGGAGATTTCATATATACCCCTGTCCCCACACAAACACAGCCTCACCCATTATCAACATCCTCCACCAGAGTGGTTCATTTGCTACAGCTGATGAATCTACATTGGCATGTCATTATAACCTGGAGTCCATAGTTTACATTAGGGCTCACTCTTGGTGCTGTATATTCTATGGCTTTGGACAAATTAAAAATGATGTGTATTCACCTTTATAGTGTCATACAAAGTAGTTTCACTGCCCTAAAAATCCCCTGTGCTACACTTATTTATACCTCCCTCCCTCCCCTAGAACCCAACGTAAATGGATTTTTTTACTCTCTCCACAGTGTTGCTTTTCCTAGAGCACCATGTAGTTGAAATCATACAGTATGTAGTCTTTTCAGATTGGCTTCTTTCACTTAGTAATATCCATTTAGATTTCCTCAATGTCTTTTCATGGGTTGGTAGCTCATTTCTTTTTGATGCTGAATAATATTCTACAGGTTGAATGAACTGCAGTTTGTTTATCCATTCACCTACTAACCGACATTTTGGTTGCTTCCAAGTTTTGGCAATTATGAATGAAACTGCTATAAATATCCCTGTGCAGGTTTTTGTGTGAACATAAATTTTCAACTCCTTTGGGAAAATACTAAGGAACATGAGTGCTGGATAACATGGTAAGAGTATATTTTGTTTTGCATCAAGCTACCAAATTGTCTTCCAAAGTGTCTGTACCATTTTGCATTCCCACCAGCAATGAAAGAGAGCTCCTGTTGCTCTCATTACCAGCATTTGGCACTGTTAGTATCCTGGAGTTTGGTCATTCTAATAGGTGTGTAGTCGTATTTCACTGTTATTTTAATTTACATTTCCCTGTTAATATACGATATGGAGAATCTTTTCATTTGTTTATTTGCCACCTGCATATCTTCTTTGGTGAGGTGTCTGTTAAGGTCTTTGGCTCATTTTTAAATTGGGTTCTTGTTGCTGAGTTTCAGTCATTCTTTGCGTATTTTGAATAACAGTCCTTTATCAGATATGTCTTTTGCAAATATTTTCTCCTAGTTTATGTCTTGTCTTTTCATTCTCTTCATAGTATCTTTTGCAGAGCAGAAAGTTTTAATTTTAATGAAGTCCAACTTATTAACTCTTTCTTCTATGGATCATGACTTTGGTGTAGTATCTCTAGTTTGGTTCCTTTTCATCAAAGTTCCTTTGGTTATTATTGTTTTTGTATTTTCAAATAAACTTAACGTTCAGCTCATTAATTTTCACAAAGAAAGCTGCTGAAATTTTGTTTAAGATTTTATTGAATCTATAGAATGACTAAGGGAGAGCTGACATACTCCCAACACTGAGTCTTCCAACTAGTGAACATTGTATACTCCCGTAATCATTTAGATCTTCTTTAAGTTTTCTCAATACTTTAGTTTTCAATGTAGAAGTCTTATAAATATCCAACTAGATTTGTTTATAAATAGCTGCTATTTTTGAAATTATTGTGCATAATATTTAAATTTTTCACTTTTTTGTTGCTATATAGAAATAGAACTCATGTTTGTATGTTGACCTTGTATCCAGTGGCACTGTTAACTTCATTTGTTAATTCCAGTAGCCTGTAGATTCTTCATGGCTTTCAATGTATACAATCATGTCTACTTAAAAAGACATTTTTATTTTTTCCCTTCGAACCAGAGTGCCTTTTATTCCTTCTTTGCTTTATTCCGCTGTTTAGGACCTGTGATAGAATACTAAATTGGAGAAGAAAAGACAGGTATCCTTGTTTCATTCTTGATCTCCAGGGGCAAGTTTTTGAAAATTTATCATTAATGATGTTTCCTGTAGGTTTTTAAAGTCATCCTGAAAGTTCCCTTTGATTTTAGTTTGTTAATAATTTTACCACTACTGTGTGTTGAATTTTATTACATGATTTTTTCCTGTATCTGTTGAAATAATCATGTTTTTTTCTTTATCTTTTAATATGGTAAATTACAATGATCAATTTTCAAATATTGAACTGCCTCTGTATTCCTAAAATAAAATCCATTTTCCAATTATTATTTCTCTTTTATACATTTTAAATTTTTATTTGCTAATATTTTTAAAAATGAATTTTCCATATATATTTATAAAAAAGAATAGTTGGTAATTTTTGTTTCTTATAATATCCTATTCAGGTTTGAATGTTATAACCTGTTCAGATTTATGCTGGCACCCAAATCATTTGGAAAATGTTGTCTATTTTTCTACTCTCTGAAGGAGTTTGTACAAATTAGTGATAATTTTGACATAAGTATTTGGGAGAATTCACTTCTGTGAATTAGAGTGGGAAGGTTTTTAATGAACAACTTTCATTAATATAATAGATATGACTAATCAGATCTTAATTTTGTCCTGTTTTTAAAGGATGGTTTCTGTTTTACATAAATTGTCAAGTTTGTTGGCATAAAATTGTTCATAATATTTCCTTTTTATATTTTAAATGTCTGCAGGTTGGTAGTTTTTTTTTGTTTGTTTGTTTGTTTCGTTTTTTTTTTTTTTTTTTTTTTGAGACAGAGTCTCGCTCTGTCGCCCAGGCTGGAGGGCAGTGGCGCGATCTCCGCTCACTGCAAGCTCTGCCTCCCGGGTTCACGCCATTCTCCTGCCTCAGCCTCCCGAGTAGCTGGGACTACAGGCGCCCACCATCACGCCGGGCTAATTTTTTGTATTTTTAGTAGAGACGGGGTTTCACCATGTCGACCAGGCTGGTTTCAAATTCCTGACATCGTGATCCGCCCGTCTCTGCCTCCTGAACTGCTGGGATTACAGGTGTGAGCCACTGTGCCCGGCCTCAATTCTTTTTTAAATATTTGAGGCTTCATTCATGACAAAGAACATGAACAATTTTTATATATCCCACAAGCATGTAAGAAAAATATGTATGCTCCAGTTTGCTATGTATGTCAATTTATTTGAATATGATGTTCGTGTGGTTCGGATCTTCAATATTTTTTGTATGTGTGTGTTTTTTCTTCTTATTCTAATAGGAATTGAGAGAGTTGTATCAAATCTCCCAGTGTAACTGGGTTTGTCTACTTTGTATTCTGTCAACTTTATATATTTTGTAGTCATCTAATTGGGATGTATTCAGGCTTAAAACTAACATATTTCTGGTATATTTACCTCTAAAACTTCTCTTTATCTCTAGTAATGTATCTTTCCTTAAAGTCTCTTTTGTCTTATGTAAGTATACCTACCTAGATTTATTTTGGCTAGTGTTTATATAACTATATACCTTATCCAGTTCTTTAAATCTTCACTCTTTCTGTGTTCACACACACACACTTATTTGATAGCACAGAGTTGAGTTTTTCTTTAGTCTGACAATTTTTGTTGTTTAATTGGATTATTTAATCCAAATAAAATTAATATAATATCTGATCTCTTTCCATTCATACTTCCATCTAATTATTTTTCTATTTGTCACTAAAGTTTAATTTTTCTTTTGGATTATTCAAATATTTTTAATTTTTCTTCCTTCAATTACTGTTTTATTACTTTGAGGGTTATCCAAGAAATTACAGCATGCATCTTCAATATATAAAAATCTAACACACATTATTAATTTTACTACTTGCATGATAATGCTTACAGCCTTAACACTTTTTAACTCTATTTATACCTTTGCCTTTTACATTATTGTTATAAATTTAAATTTTATATATAATTTAAATCCTTTAAGAAATTAGTGTTAATATTATTGCCTTGTATAATCAATATTCAATCAACATTCATTTACATTGACCTTTCTTATTGCTCTTCATTTATTCCTGCAATTCTGTGATTTCTTTTGGATTGTTTTCCTTCTGCCTAATGCATTTCATTAAAAGTATTTCTTGGCCAGATGCAGTAGCTCATACCTATAATCCCAACACCTTCAGAGGCCAAGGTGGGCAGATCCCTTGAGGTCAGGAGTTTAAGACCAGCCGGGCTAACATGGTGAAACCCTGTCTCTACTAAAAATAGAAAAATTGGCCAGGTGTGGCGGCACATGTCTGTAATCCCAGCTACTCAGGAGGCTGAGATGGGGAGAATAGCTGGAACCCAGGAGGTGAAGATTGCAGTGAGCCGAGATTGTGCCACCGCACTCCAGTCTGGGCAACAGAGTGAGACTCTGTCTCAAAAAAAAAAAAACAAAAAAAAGTATTTCTTTTCATGCAGGTATGACTGTCGTTAATTCTTAATTTTTGTCTGAAAACTGCATTCATTTTTGAAGGATATGTTTGCTGGCAATAGAATTCTAGCCTGGTAGTAATTTTCTTTCAGGACTTTAAAGATGTCATTCCTTTGTCTTTTGATTTCCTGATTCATGTTGAAAAGTCAACTCTCCATTTTACTGATGTTCCTTTAACAGGAATGTATTATTTCTTATATGATTGGTTTTAAAATTATCTCTTTGACTTTGGTCTTGAGAAGCTCTCCTATGATTTGCCTAAGTGGGCTTTGTTTTTATTTAGCCTGTTGTTATTTATTTCTTGAATATCTTGAAATATTAAGGATTTTCACCAACTTTGGAAAATTCTTTATCATTATCTCTTCAAATATTGCTTATTCCTCATTCTTGTTGTCTCTTTTAGTATGTTAGCATTTTTAAAAATTACATTCCATATATCACTAATGTTCTTTTCTGTATTTTTTATTATTTTATTCTTTGTGCTTACATTTGGATGTTAATATTGAATTGACTTGCATCCACTAATCCTGTATTCTTTAATGACTATGACATTAAACTATTTAAATAGTTTTAATTTCAGATAATATAATTTTTCAGTTCTAGAACTAACTTCCACTTTTAAAGTCCAATTCTCCAGTGAAATTATCTCTTTATTTTCTCTATTGTTCTTTATTTTTAACATATTAGTCTTACTTATTTTAACATCATTCAGTTAATTTTAATATCTGAATCATCTATGGGTAATTTTTATTGTCTGTTTTTGTTCTTTTGGTTTTATTCATGTTATCCAGTTTTTGGTGTGTGTATCTAGGAATTTTTTATTGAATGCTGAATATTTACATAAAAAGCTATCCAAGGTTAAGATACTATCTTCTGGCCGGGCGCGGTGGCTCAAGCCTGTAATCCCAGCACTTTGGGAGGCCAAGACGGGAGGATCACGAGGTCAGGAGATGGAGACCATCCTGGCTAACACGGTGAAACCCCGTCTCTACTAAAAAAAATACAAAAAACTAACCGGGCGAGGTGGCGGGCGCCTGTAGTCCCAGCTACTCCGGAGGCTGAGGCAGGAGAATGGCGTGAACCCGGGAGGCGGAGCTTGCAGTGAGCTGAGATCCAGCCACTGCACTCCAGCCTGGGCGACAGAGCGAGACTCCGTCTCAAAAAAAAAAAAAAAGATACTATCTTCCTCCAACAAGAGTTCACCTTTTCCTCTGTTAACTTGATAGAGTTCTGTCTAAACAAATCATCTCAACTGAAACAGGCACTGGGTTTTGTCAAGGTTCCGGCTCTCCAGAATTTTCAGCTGAGAACTTGGTATATTCTCCACAGTCCCTTCCCA